AATCTCCCTTACATCTCCTTCCTAGTATTTTTTGCTCTACTTAAACGAAAGTTGAATTTAAAAATCGTAGATCATATAGACAAGGTCACAGAAATGGAATTAGGATAGTGTATTTTTTAAATTAATAACAAATACGTGAAAAGAAAGAACAAATGAGATAACTTAGAGTAAAGAGAAAATCCTATCTAAAAATATTAAATTTATTTCTTAAACTGTTTTATATTATGCAGAATTTAAATTTTATTTCATTCAATATTTCTCTAATACAGCTGCTGTATTAATAGGCTAAAATTAATTATTTTAATACGCTTTGTATTTTTACTTTTACTTAAGTATACAGTGTGTCCTGTAAGACGGACATATTTAAAATGTTGATAGTAGACGTCTACCTATCATAATGGCTCTACATCCCTCAGTGGGTCCTGGCCTCCTCAATGATCTTCCGCCAAATTTCTCTATTCTGTGCGGCCACTGTTCATTTGTGGCCACTCCCAACAGGTCTTTAGTCTCACCTGCCACACCATCTGTCCATCTCAATCTCGGTCTGCCAGCTCTCCTGGTATAGTTTAATGGTTCTTCAACCACTCTTATCGGGATTTCAGACCCCTCCATCCGAGCCATGTGTCCTACCCAACTCAACCTTCCTAATTTTATTATTCTTGCCACATTAGGTTCATTAAACAATTTGCAGACCTCTCTATTCTACCGAATTTTCCAACCCAGCTTCTCCTTTACAGAGCCAAATAATCTTCTAAGGGTTTTCCTTTCAAATACCAAAAGCTTTTTCGTCATTTTTGGTTAAGATCAATGTTTGGCTACCGTAGGTAAGAACTGGCCGGATGGGCGTTTTAAAGAGCTGCAGCTTTGTACGTCTACTAAGTAGTGAGCTTCTCATGTGCTTAAGTAGATCAAAATAGCATATATTTGTAGCTACTATTCTCCGTTTTATTTCAATTGACGTCTCATTTTTTGTTGTAATTTGAGATCCCAGATAAGAGAACTGTTGGACATTCTCAAAGGTGTAAGTGCCAAGAGATATTCTTTGGTTTCGGGAATTCTCCCCTTCTCCTGTATTTTTATATAAAACATATATTTTGTTTTATTCTCATTAATGTGTGGAGCCCCATCTTAGCTGTAGCTTTTTGCCAATCAAGGAAGGCACCTTCGAGAGCTACAAAGGACCATGCAACAATATCAATGTCGTCAGCATAACCTAACAGTTGCACCATATTTTTCCTTGGAGAATATAAGTATTTTAAAATAATTTATCTTTATCAAACTCCTGATTGTCAGGAATTTCATTATTTAGTCATGTTCCATTTTAAATCCACTACCAATGGTTATTTTGCTTGCTCACTACCGAGAGCAGTGCCGGCCATAGGGTGGCGATTGCCCGAGGGCGCCAGTCGATCTTTAGGGGCGCTTGCTTCTGGTTAGCAGGGGTGCCCAGAAGGGGGTTTCATGGCGCCATCAAAATTTTTTAGGGAAGCAAATTTTGAAGTTTTGAGGGGGCACGAGGTTAAACATTTTCGGAGCGAAAAGTTTCGAACCAGGGAACTAGGGGAAACACATGGACCATACCCCAGTAATTTTAATGATATATAATCTACATTTTTTCTAATTCTACTTTCACTTGCACTGTTTTTAAAAAGAGTAAACCAATAACATTTTTTGGGAGCGGGGACAGGAGTTCATGCGTCCATTGACCTTGGGGATAGGTGCCCCTGCTTGTTAGAAATTAAAATTAAATACAAAACATATTAAAATAATTAATTGTAGCACATAAATAAAGTAACTGTATTGGAAAAATGTTGAATGAAATTACATTAAAATATTACATAATGATAAACAGTTTAAGAGATAAATTTAATTTTATACAAAAAGGTGTTTACAAAAAAGGTGTGTCTTCATTTCAAACTACATGACAAATATTCTACACCCATGAATCCTAAAGATTCAAATTATAAAAAAATGAATAAATAAGATGTAAAAAATTCAGAGATACATGGAAGTGCTATGCAATTACCTACTGAGATTTGTAAAAATATGATGATAGTTTTTCTATGAGGATATTGAAAATAGAAAATAAGTAAGAAAAATAAAAGAACAAAAAAGGATAATTATTAGTAACAATAGATTACTATTAGTTCTTATTAATTATAACAAAAATATTCATCTCAAGTTTTGTATATCACTAATTCGAAATATTGATAAATGTTAACATTTATTGTCATAAATTTATTGTTCATATTAATAATAAGTTATTAATTTGTCCACATTAATAACTTATAGTGTTTACATTTATTGTCATAAATTTGTTGTTCATATTAATAAGTTATTATTAATATGAACAAATTAATAACTTAATTATCATCCATCAATTAATTTATTGTCATTTGACAACATTATAAAAAAATCGGTCGACTGGTTCCTTCAGCGAACACGTAAAAACTTAGGAGCAGCCGTGTTCGCAAGCCCCGTCTCCATCTAGTGTTGCAGGAGCGCGGATTGCCATAGGTTCACGAACATAGTGGATTCCCGGCTTAATATTCTAGCAGGAGCAAAAAAAATATTGTCCTCAGAATCGAAAACGCCTTCACCAGAAAGCGAACACGTTATTATTTTATCATATTCTGTCTGTTTATCATCAGGGGGACAGATGGCCGAGCGGGCTAACGCGAGTGTCTGGCAACCTGGATAGAAGGTAATGTGATGAAATAATACCGAGTTCGCGTTTCGGTGGCAAGGACTTTTTGATCTGACATTAATCTCCCGCCCTCACTCACTGGCCCGAGAAATTCTCCTATAGTTTAAAAGGTTAGAACCAAAAAAAAAAAATTGTATCAAGTAACTAGTTAGTATTTAGCACACGCGTTTATCCGCCAGGCAACCCAGCCTTGTTCGGTAGTCAAATTGATGTGACGGGCATATCATCTACTACCGCTTGCACAATTTTCATGAAAATTTTGAGGCTTTTGGGACTTGGTTCCTTGATTGTTCCGTATCAGTTTCAACAAATTCCATCCAATATTTTCTCTTACACAAGAAATGTATTTTCTTAGATATGCCCATATTTCAGAAACGGCTCGTTTGATTTGGCTTGAAGTTGGAAGAAAGGTGTGTATTTAAAAAAAAAAATGCTGTATGAATTTTGTTGAACTTCGTCCGCTGCGTTGCCTTAAATACACAAACGTGCTTTCCTTGATACTCATTAATCTCCAAAACCGTACTTATAATTGGAGGGAAGTTGATTGAGTGATCAAGTTGGTATCAATTTCTATTTACTACTTTCAAAAAATACTCTCGCATTCCAATCTGCAAACGTATTGATTTAAGGAATAGTTTGATTAGCCCTAAAATTGAGAATATAGTACAAATTGCTTAGTATCAGGGGTGGATCTAAGGGGGGCTTTCGGGCTGAATGGTAAAATATTAGCATGGAAAAAAAATAAAAAAATACCTCTTAAAGTATTATTGTTCGTGTAATTATATTTAAAAGGACTTAAGGAATCACTTAAACACCATTTCATATAGTTTCTTTCCGTTTTTCAAAGTAATTATCGTTATTTTTATGAAAAAAGTTTTCAGGCTGAAGCCCCCTTCCCAAAATTAAATCCTGGATCTGCTAGTGCTTAGTACCAATTTCATTTAATTCCAATAAATTAAAAATAAGAATATTAGAAACATGTAAAGCTATATCAAAAAATTTAATTTAAACTATAGATTCCATGTGACTGACATGACACCTGCTCTTACTAAAATTCTTGTAATTTTCATTGATAGTGAGGTTTGGAACTTGGATCATCTTGCATAGATTACAGGGAATCCCATCCACATCTTTCACATAGGCATGCCTTTTTCTTTGACTTTATGCTAACTAATATCTTAACATTTGCTCTGATTATTTTCCATAGACACCATAGACATAGTATAAGGTCATCAATGCCTTCTTATTCTTTGTAAATGTACTTTAAGAAGGCCAACAAAGAAAAAAACACTGATTGCTTCTTGCAATTTTAAGCGTTTAAATATAATTTCTTTTGAAGCTCAAACTGGTTGGTCTCTCAATTTGCCCCTCAAAATTCATGGGTCATATTCCACAGCTTCTTTAACTAGTTATTGTTGAACAGTGAGTAAATAAATTTAAGAATGTACAAGCCACATTTTCCTGTAATTTTTTAGTTCACTATTTTTTCTTAAAATTGGTTTTGTTCTGACTGATGGAAAATATCAATTTTCTTAACAGGGCAAAAACAAAATTGAATTTTTGTTCCATTTATTTTACTGGTGAAAATGAACCTAATAGTATATGTACAACCATGCTATAACACTAACTGTACCCAGATTTGTAAAGTTTCAGATTTCTTTATCAGTAATAGGCAAATAAGCAACACACGTCTCTTTAGCATTCACTGATGAAAAACTCTTGCATATCAAACTCATGAATATTGAGAAATTACTGTATTTAAAAAGCAGCTTCCAAGATTTTTATAAACAAAAATTTATACACCTTTACGTATAGGAAATTGTGTATCTGATGAAAATAGTGAGGAAGCTAAACTTAGCAGTATTTATAATCACTTTTATTCATTACTGTTGTTAGGTTGTATTTATTAAATTTGAGATTTGTCAAACCTTAACCAAGAGATGGTTCTAGTATATAGAAAATTGTGATAAATAATTCCATACAAAACCATTGATTTAATTGAGATATATATATATATATATATATATATATATATATACTGTTCCTAATATAAGGAGGAATATAATTAATGACCAAGAACATACTTCACAGTAAAATTTTATTTCACTCAAATATGCCTCAACTTTATCAAGATGTTGGCGTATCAGTCAAATAAATAAAAATAACATATATTATTCTAATATCCATATAAGTTAAAATTAGATTTGAAAATACTTTAAACAGTACTGGTGTTTAAATAAAAACATAAGATAAAGTAAACTAAGTAAAACAGTGACATATATATAAACATATATATAAATATTCAGTATTTCGTAATCACTATTATAATGCAAATCTATTTCTTACTAAGACGTCAATCAAATTTAAAATAAGAATATCTAGACATTTATCAGCTACATCTTAACATACTCTTATAAACAGTTACAGATTATAACAAATAGTCACAGGTTAAATTCATCATTGTTATTTTTAAAAATAACCCACACATTAATATGACTAAAGTAATAATTTTACATTAATTTTAAATATATATATAAATCACGTTTATGACAATTATAATGGTTAATAAAAAAAATTATATACTATTGACTGTACAGACAAATCCTCTAAATAAAGATCTATAATACCAACCAAGATTAGTATTACATTATGTACAAAACATAAAAAAAAAGGAAAAAAAATATCTTTATTGATGTAATGAAACTAATAAAAATATTGATATCAAACATGACTTCTTATGCCCCACTTCTTTGAAAATAATAAGCAATTAATCATATTTGACACCAAGAGCCTCTAATGCATGTTTAGCACATTCTTTTTTGGCATCTTTCTTGTTTGAACCTAGAACAGAAAGAAAAATAAATAAAGGAACGTTTGCTTTATCTCATAAAATATATATAAATCATCACAGAATATAGTCAAATTGTAATGAGATTGATAGAACTTATACTCACCAACACCCATAAATGTTTGACCATCCACAGAAACTGTAAATTTAAAAGTAAGATTAGGTGGAGCTCCTTCACGAGATTCAGAATATTGAGAGCCAGGCCGAATTTGATTTAATAACTGCACAGGATGCTTTTTGTTGGCATCATCAGGAAGTTTTTTAGCTCCTGTGGCCTAACATCATAAAAACAAAAATATTAAAAATAAGTTTTGGATGTGAGTGAAAAGAGGAAGGAGAGATAATAATTGATTGATTACCTTATGAAACACAGGAGGTAAACCAGAAGGTGGGAGTTGGAAACCCTGGGATTGCCATTCTGAAAAAAGTTTAAAAAGGGCAAATGATGCAAGTGAGCCCCACGGAACGTCATCTTCAATCAGCCTTCTTCCTGGGACAGGTTTTGGGCCTGCAGCCTGCTCTTCTGGGTTTGTTACATCCCCTGCCACTGACTCTTCTTTCATTGTCACATCTCCACTACTATCTTGAGTTCCGTCACTACTCAGTGTATTGTCGGCTAAAATATTAACTTCTTTTTAAATTAATTTCAAAAAAAAAATTCTTTAAAACTGGTATTTAATCTATTAAAAATAACTTCCATGAGACATTGTATCTATATTATACACACTATCAGCTAGATGGAGGAGAGGAATATGAACAGTATAAAAATATAAGAATAAATATCTGATGTGTTTATCTAAGACTTTCTTTACTGTTTTCATTGATATCAATGATATATTAATATTGCTTATGGTGATGATTCCTTATTAGCCACAGAGCTGTTTTGGTACTATAAATCAAAACCTGACAAAAAAAAAAAAAAAAAAAAAAAGATAAAAAGCAATTGGTCTACCCATTTAAGATATAACGATGCCACATCAATACAAGGTAAACATTTATCGAAATTTAATCAGACACTGAACTCTTTACCATATCTAGTAGGGACATGGAAGTAAACTAAGGATTACTTACGATTGATTTTTAGATTGTTCTGTTCCAATTTTTCTAGAAGCACGGCTTTCAGAGCATTTTCGCTCGCAGCTTGTTTAGCAGACATTTTAGACATGCCATGTCCTCTGTATATTTTACCCTCAACCTGAAAATGTAAATAATTATTATAAAAAAGTTTTATTTTTTGTAATCTGAAATATTTAGTTTGATAAATATGTTAATTAAATTAGAAAAGTTAAAATAAAATACTTTATAATCTTAACTAAATGAGAATATATCAAACCTATATAGAATACATTCATTCATGAGATAAAAAAGGAAAAAAAAAAATGAAAATCTGACAAACTAATCAATCATTAAATTCACGAGATGATAGAGAAAAACGATTAAAAAAAACGTAGAGAATTTCTATAAGCTATACTCGCTCAAAAAAGTATAATTCAAGCATTTAACTTTTTATTTGAAAAAACTGGAAGAAAAAACAAAACATATTTGATGAAACAAAGAAATCATTTGTTATTAAAATAAGTTTTGCCTTATACAGCTTCATACTATTGATTTTATACAGAATTTGTTTTAAAATTTCGACAGTGAGATAAATAGCAGCGATCCTCAAAAGCTTTAAGAATATTGTCTGGAAGGCAAGACTAGAAGGCTGTTCTCTTCGACTCTAAAGCGGCCATCCTCACTGTTGCCAGCATAAATATGTGTCTATTGAGGGCAGTCTTTGAGTGCAAATCTACCGCCCAACACTTCGAGGCACAAATGTACTCCACAGGGGATTCCTGGAAACAAAGAAGCTGATAGTCTCACCAAGAGAGGAGCAGAACTGCCTCAACCGGTCCATAAAGAATGGTAAAGGAAGTAACACGAAAAACACACATAGATAAGGTGGAAGGGAAGCGTTGCAAAAGTGTAATAGAAAACCAGATTCTAGCTGACTTAATAAGAGGAGTATGCAGTAGCCTGCTTCCTTTTGACGACTACCTGCAGAGTCATCTCCACAAGGTAGGCATGGCTGAAGATCTTAATTGTTTATTATGTATCAAAGGAAGAATGGATGCAGGCTACCTCGACACATCCTGCTTTGACGGATGTAAGAAATGAGACTTTTTAAAATGAATATGTGAAAAAATTCTAATTTATACTGGGCAGAAAAAGATATCGGGTGGTTGAATGACCAAAGACTTTAGCCTAAGAAAAAAAAAAAAAAAAAAGTCTGCTAAGTAAGGTCAGTATAGCAGCTTCCTCACCGTTTTCATTCGCTAAAGAACATCTAAAAATTTTCTTATGAAAATAGAATCTCTGGAAAAAGGCGTTTTCGGAAATTCAGTAATCCCTCAATAGTAATCCACGAGTTTTGCTCATCAGTAAATAGTAAAAGTTCTGCATTTGCAGATTGTATATTTGATAATTCATAATTTAAAAAAATTCCAGTACATACTGAATACGAACCTCGCTACTGTTTGTGCAAATGATGTATGTAAAAATCGAGTGTTTTACAGGAGAGCATAAAAACTAATTACTTCTTTATGATTGATTAGAATAATTTTATATTTTATTGCCTTCTGCTGTTTTTATAGTAGTAGACAACTTATATCAATTGTATACTACATAATGTCAAAAATTGAAAACATTTACATACGACCTTTGCACTGATAGTAGTGATATATACTTAATAGCTATGTTATCACTCGTAAAATGGGTGGAACAAAAAATCCATAGGAAAAATTCAAATTTTTGATTGTTCGGAGTTAACGAGACCAACACTTTTCTTCAGTTAGAACAAAACTAATCAAGCTGGAATATAAAAATATGAGTGAAGTTGACACCATTTTGATATTTAAGGAGAAAATCGAGACCACGACGAGCTGGTTGAACTTCAATGGAAATAAACACTATCACAAATAAGACGTTGGTGTTAAGTAAAAAATACTTTAAATTTATTGAAAATTACATGAAATCCAAGTAACGTCAGTGTGTCGTGCCACTAACGTTTGGATCAACCAAACAATGCAGGATCAATTAATTTTTCGATTAAAACCTAAAATTTTAAACAATATTGTAATAACCTAACTCCCCACTCCATATCAGTGCCTTCCAGATTTCACAGCTATTTCTACATTGTTAAACAATTATTTATATTAATTTTAATTATTAAATGGAATTCAATGAAATTGATACTAAGTAATTTCTATAATGCTTTCAAAATTCCTTTCAAGTTTGCAACAAATCGAATGTGCCGTTAAACTATAGGCGTATCAAATATCACATTTTCTGATCTGAAAGTGGAAGTATTTTATTAGATAGAATTTGATAAAATTGATGCCTATTTCATTTTACGTTGACTAATCCCTAAATTCCCTCCAAATTTGAGCCAAATCGAACTTGCAGTTTTAGAGACATAGACGTATCAAGGAAAACATGTCTGTGCATATATAAGAGAAGGCAATGGATAGAATTCAATAAAATTGACCATATGTTTTTTCCCCACAAATATCTATCCTTTGTCTAACTTTGATCCAAATTGAACAAGCCGTTTCTGAAATATTGTCACACCTACAAAAATGTGTTTGGGCGTGCAGGTTAGAAGCGGAAGTGCTGGTTAGAATTTAATAAAACTGATATGGGACCATCTAGACACCAACCCGCACAATTCCTGAAAATCGCATAAACGGTGTGTATTAGGTGATATGCATGTTGCATCAATTTGACTAGACAGACATCGAACCAAATTTTCGATTCTGAGCACAAATTTTTTTTAATCTCTCGCATGAATACTTTGTATATTAGTTAACAAAGTTTGTTTATCATTAATGGAATAGATGCAATGAGATGATAGAATTCTGTAATATGAAAACTTGTTAGGTATGTAATAAACTTTTGATAGCTTGAAAATGAGCCAATTAAATTGAAACGTTGTAATGACATACATGAATGGAAAAATTTGGAGGCTAATTTATTCTTTGAAACATCTTATATAATTCCAAATTTTAAATCTTAATTTTTTTTGCATCATAATGAAATATTGGAAATTGTTTACATATTTTCCCTTTAGTCTGCCTTTAAATATTGGGAAAATATTGTGTACCACGAAATTCCATTCTCCTTAAAATATGAAATGAAACAAGTGAAGTGGATTAATTTATACAATCATATATCTTTTAGCTCACTACTGTACAACAGGAAAATTGTTTTGAAGGATTGATCACCCATTCACAAGATAAAAAAGGAAAAACCAACAAAAATTTGCACACTCTATCTCCTTTTTGCCTAAATTAAAACTATTGGAAAAATAAAGGAAGGAGATGGTCCGGGGTTGCGGTCATAAAAAGGCTAAATAGTGGTAAAGCTATTTTATTGAAAGCCAACGTTTCGACCCGACTTTGCAGGTCTTCATCAGGGAGGTGTGTTCCTCTAGGAGTTTCACTTAGAACTGCTTCTAAGTGAAACTAGATATATATATGTGCCTAGAGAGATTTTAAAGTATATCCCTATATTCAACCTGTTAATGATTATGGATTGTACGCCTATTAGTTAATAACTGTTATTTTCCATTGTAAAGTTCACTACAATGAAATTACGATATCTTCATTGCCTGCCATTGCGGTCAAAAGTTGTCACACTAATTTAATTTTCTATAAGGTTACATGGTGATTTTTCGGAATAAACGGATGCTAATACCTAAATATTTTAATATAACATCAGATCTAAAATTATTAAACTAAAATTTACTTCTTCTTTCATAAGTACTATGAAAGTTTTTTAAGCAATGTAATTGCCTTGATTAGGTGGATTTTAAATACTTTTCTTTCAAACTTAAAAACCATTTTAAAAGTTTACATTTAGTTAATAAATTTAATTTAATTTCCTTGAAAAATTATTATTTCCATTAAATAATATTAGTTTTCACAAATTATTATTAATACTTTTTTGTCACTCTCCATTATTTTCTATATTTCTATATTCGATATTGTTTTTTTTTCTAAAATTCTCCCCTTTCTGATGATATATTATACGTATATCTTTGGACTAATATTTCCGGAGAATCATTTCATTATTGACATGAATAACCATTTTCCCTTTTTTCAACTACCAAATTCTTTCAAAAGTTATACTTCGCATATTTTCGTAACTTTTAATAATGAGAAATAGTTAATTATTTATAGATACTTTAGAGGAAGACATGTTAAACATTTAAGCCTGTAAGGTGACATCAATGGGGAAAAGACCTTAATGATATTAAAGAACATTTAATTATACAATGATACATAGAGTTTGATCAAAATCGTTGGAAAGTTTTTTTTTTATTATAGAAAATTGTAAAAATGTGTATAACCGTTGATATAAAATTCCACTTCCGGTTAGTTGATTTTAACGAAAAAGTTACTATCACATCTCAGACATATAACCATTTTAAATAAGTAATATCAGTTTCGTACGACTTTTCGTTTTGAACTAGACTGATCACAAATACACCATTTTGTGGGACTTTGTTATTTTGACTCAGGGGTCAAAATGTGATTAATCCATTGAAAACTCAGATTCGAATATTTTCACGATCGTAATACTTTTCTTCGACGTGAGCGAAAGAAAAAAAAATTATTAGTAAAATCAAATAGATAAGAAACAGTTTAATAGAAAAATTTACCTCAATTTCTACTGTATATGCAGTTTGATTGGCAGCATTAACTTGTTCAGAAATAACCATCTTCAATTCTGGGTGCAGTTCATGTAAAACCATCATGGCATTTTTAGGTGCAAGGAGATTTCTTAAACGAGCGTTCTGACGGCGTTTCCTCATTTTTCTGGTTATTTTAACATTGGCAGCTCCTTAAACAGCAGATAGAAATAATGAAAATAAACAAAATGAATGCATGATCTTATTTTTACTTTTATTATACATAATGTTATAACATTAATATTTTCATAAAATTTTAAGGGAAGAAATTTTAGTAGCCAATTATATTATTTCTGATGATCTTTAGTGAGAACAGCAAAACCCGTATTTCCCAACATAAAACATCCATAACTTCCTGGAACCCATACGCTCACTAACTATCAGAACATGCCTTAACCCTTAAAACATTCATAAGACTTTGAAAAAACCCTCTTCTTGCCACGGTCCTCAACCATGAAAAAAGACATTCCGAATCCATCCACATCGAAAACAATCATGTTCATCATGAAGTAGATAAAAACTGCATTCCTTTAACGTATAGGCACATTTTAAATCTTATATGTGGAAAATAACTTCTTTATTAATTCTATTTTATATGTATATATTTATAATTTATTAGTTCATAGATATCGTATATTTTTCTTGTATCCATCAATATCTTCAAATTTTAGATACTATAATATTCCAAGTTTTGTTTTGCTATTACTACTTACCCCTCACTACTCTCCGACCAGGTCAGCAAATTATCCCAAGAGTACCCTACCCAAGTTTTAACTAAACCTCCTTTCTGAACACAGCTGTGTAAGTGTCCATATTTATTCTTTTATTTTTATTTATTTAATTTTTTTATTTCTTCACATCTCTCTTTTATGTCCATTATTTGAAATTATTTATCGTTTTCTTTCAATCTCTCCTTGAGATCTGTAGGAGTATATTCATAATTGCATATACACTGATAGGCAAAAAATTCCACCCACTTGATTTTTCCATGTTTTCATCTAAAAATATTTCTGTAAAGTTGTATTTGCACATAATACATAATATTTGTAGATAATACTTAATATTTATGGAATTTTATACTCTTTTTTACCTTTAATGATCAAAATGTGATTAGGTAAGAAAGATTAGAGAAAAAAAAAAAATTGAAAAACGAACCATTAATATTCTAAAAGAAATTAATTATATCATCGTTTAGCAGCGAGTGTTTCCTCCTCTAGCCTTCACTACTGCTTGAAGACGCTTCGGTATACTTTCTAACAGTTGGGAAATATCCTTTTGCTGGAGGATAGCCCATTCTTCCCGAAGAGCCCTTTTAAAGTCCTGCAGTGTATCAGGAAGTGTTGCACGCGCTCTTATTCGTCTTCCGAGGTTATCCCATAAATGCTCAATGGGTTCAAATCTGGAGAACGTGCTGGCCAGGTTAAAACCTCAATATTGTTCTGTTGAAGGAACGTCTGCACTATGCGGGCGACAAGTGGACGTGCATTAGAATAGAACGATTGCCGATTTAGTTGAGGATATGCAACACATAAGGTTCCAAAATCTCATCTACATAGCTAATGGCCGTCAAAGACCCTCCACGAACAACAACCAATACTGTGCAGCGCTCCATTAAAATCCTAGCCCACACCATTAAGGAACGTCGTTGGAAAGGTTGGATCTGGGAAAAATTGCAGGCTGCATATCTTTCGTTTCTTCTTCTCCATACCCTTTTACGCCTGTCTGGAGATCGAAGAGCAAATCTTGACTCATCTGTAAAAAGTACAGCACTCCATTCGTCCATAGTCCAATGGCTGTGTTCTCGAGCAAAAGCCAGCCGTGTTACTCTGCGAGTTCTGGTCAACTCTGGTCCTCTTACTGGACGAAAAGCCATTAATCCATACTCATTTAATCTTCTCCGAGCAGTACGTTCAGAAATTTGCACACCTCGAACTTCTTCGAGCTGATGAATCGCTTGAACAACGGTAAGGTGCCAGTTTCGTAAAATTCTTCAAGTCAAAAACCGGTCATACTGTGGTTCTGTTACCCTAGGCCGTCCAGAACCAGGCCTTCTATTGTAAGAACCAGTTTCCCGAAAACAACTGACGGCGTCTCGTAAAGTTTCATATGGAACGTCCATCATCAATAAGTGCCATACCATGCGCAACATCCTCAGCACTAAGAGGCATTTTTAAACTTAATATTGAAAAAATTAAAATCCGGAGACTAAGAAATGTGCTGCAAGAAACGGCACTGAACTGATGATACTGAATAAACATTTTGATTCCATAGAAAGTAAACATTGGAATCTAGAATCATTTCATTGACTTAAGGATTAAGGGTTATTGTCCTCTATATTAACATTCCTACTTGAAAACAAACAAAAAGATTACCTATTTATTCATTAACAACAATAGAACAATCCAAAGCAGAAATATTTTTAGATGAAAACATGAAAACATCAAGTGGGTGGAATTTTATGCCTGTCAGAGTATTATACTACAACAATTGTAACCATCTATTTACTTCAGTTTAGGATCTTGTTACTTAGTTTATTCTGTTTATATAGTTTATTGTTCTTAATATTTCAATGTAATTACTATATGTAATTACTGTTTATAATTTCAATACGTTTATTTTATATCCTGTCCGTTCTAGCCCTGAGAAGACCTGCAAAGTGGAGTCGAAGCATTGGCTTAAAATAAAATAGTTTTGCCATTATATTAGTCTATTTATGACCGCCACTCCAGATTATCTCCTTCCGCTTTATTTATTTTTACTTATTTTTGTTTGCCTGAACAGCACAACCAAATTAATTTCTCTTCAATATATTATTTATGTTAAAATAGAAGGAGAATGGAAGTGTATTTGCAGAATTATTCTTTTTTTAACAAGATCATTTCAATATTTTAAACATTTGTTAATTAATTTAAATTTTTTTATAAATCATAAATAGTAAATTTGAACAAAACATTGTTTGACCATAAGCTTGAAACAATGGCAGTACTACATAGCAACGAAGCATGATAAAAGTAGAGATTTATTCCAAAATCCTCAAGAAAAAGGGAATGAATAAGTCAATACTAGAACATGAACGACACAACTGCACATTATTAAGCTCTTGTCAGTCCATTTTTCTTCCAGCTGTAAGGAAAAGGCAAAAACACTTTAGTTAAGCCTTAGGGTGAAGCTGGAAAACCAATATTACCATAAAGATTAATTCGACAAAAAGAAACATAAAGAATGCTTTAGAAGTCTGAATGTTGTATATAGTCACAATTTTTATAATCTTATATTATTGTTACTTTGTAGATAATAAATATACTATAGTTCTCTCCTAGAAAACCATCAAGTATATTTAAGTAATAAATTACTTCTGTTTTAACATAAAATTCATTGGAAGAATAAAATAATTGAAATTTAGTACAGGTACAGCTTCAAATAAAACTATTTTACTGCAAAGGTCTCACAAAAATGTTATACAGCAGCTTTGGTAAAAGCAGTTTCTAGTTGAACATATTAATTTAAGTGTGGATATATTTACCAGTGGATCTTTGGGAAAACCTAGATAGACAGTAGTATTGTTTAAAAAATATTTTAATACGGAATAATTAAAAATTTAAATATTTTTTAAACACGGAGGAGACGAATTGATAAATTAAATAAATTTACTGTTGGAGGATGTTTGGAGTAGTGAAATCGTGCCTCAGGAATGGTGCACAAGTCAGTATGCCCAATATATAAAAAAGGAGATAAACTCAAATGTTAAATTTACAGAGGAATTTCCCTTTGGCTGTAGGCTATAAAAGATTTTTAAGCATGCTCTCTGCGAGGCTCAACGTATTTGATGAAAGGAACAACTGGCCAAGTTATTGTAATGAGGAAATTAATGTAATACAGAAAACATGGGAATATAAAACCTGCATATGTTGTTCATAGATTACCGGCAAGCTTTAGATAGTGATGAGAAGCAAATTAATAAATGCCTTACACGCGTCCCTAATTCCAAAAAATTAATAAGATTATTGCAAATGACAATGAATAATAGCAATGGAAAAGTAACCATTAATGGAAATGTAAGCAATAACTTTCCAATGACAGATGGGGTTAGGTAAGGGAATACTTTGTCTGCTATATTATTTAATATTTTGAAAAAAATGGATTCACCTCGTTGCATACTTAACACAATGGTGCAAATATGCCTTATTTGAGGGGTGAGGTTGAGGCAGGTACTTAAGAGCATTGAAATACGTGGTCTCAACTTCGAGTGTGTGAAAACATTCACATACCTGAGAGTGGAAGAGAATTCTGAAAATAAAATTGTTGCTAAAATAAGCAAAAGGATGATGGCTGGAAACCGAGCGTACTGTGCCAACCATAAATTTTTTTTTTTTATCATCGCTCATGTCACGAGAAACAAAGATAAGATTAAATAATACTTTAGTAAGGCCTATTGTGACTTATACAGCAGAGACATGGAGGATCCTTTGTGCAAGCACAATTAGTATGCTGAATATTTTTGACAGAAAAATATTGAGAAGAACTTATGGAGTACTTGTGAAGAGAATTTGTGGAGATATCGAAAAAAATTCGGAGCTTTATGAACTATATAATAACGGCGACATAGCTTATTCTGTTAAAACCAGGCGCATAGAATGGTTAGGTCACGTCGCTAGAATGGTTAGGACAGCAGCAGGATGCCTTATAAGGCAATGGAAAAGATGGCTACAGGATGTTGAGAGCAGCCTTAAAGCATTGGGTGTAAGAAACTGGAAGGATAGGGTGAATAATAGAAATGATGGGTATGTTATAATTCAGGAAGCCAATGGCCACCCCAGGCTGTAGAGCTGCGTTGTAAGTAAGTACTTTCCTGCCTACTCTCCTCCTTTAAATTTGGCAGAGAAAGCCTTCTCCAAAAGAAAAATTAGAACAAGCAGTTGTCTCAAATAAATTCCAAAAGCTGTTATTGTCCACAATAACAAGTGCAAATTGTGCTAACTGTCATTTAGATTTTGATTTGGAGAAAATTGTAACTTCAATTTGAAAACTTTTAAAATTGGTTTTTAAATGGTATAATGCCCAACTTAATAATTGTTTATTGCACTAAATGATAAACCACATTCGGGTGTTCTAGCACAGGGGTCTCTAAACTTTTGGGCCTGTGGGACACATTGAGACCTCAACAAAGTCCTGTGGAGTCATGGATTTTATTGAGAACAAGAAGCAACTCATGCAATAAATTTTGCAGTAACCTCATGTTAGAGCTACTAAACTAACTAAATTTCATGTTTTTAAAATTTTACCATGCAATCAAAGAAACTTCAGCAGGCTGGATTGGAGCAGCTTGCGGGCCACACTCAACCTGCTGACAGTAATTTGGAGACTCCTGTTCTAAATCATAAAATAGTTTAAAAATGTGATTCTAAACAACACTTACTATTGAGAATAAGATGAACTTTGTTCAAGAGAAGTACAGCAAGACTTGTCACGTCTACAGTGAACAAAATAGCCTTAAGGGACAATGATTTGCAGTTTTTGAAATTTATAAAAAAATTGTAATTAAGAGTTTTAAAGGACACTAAAAACAAATCAAACTTGACGACCTACTTTACTGGAAGAATATTTCAATTTTTTTTATGATACATTAAAAAAAAACCTCACTGACTGGTCTCTTATCTGCAAGATTGAATGTAGAAAATTTAAAGTATTACATTTAACATTTATCTCTACTGTTGTTCAATAGAAAATAGAAAATTAGGAAGGATATAAGCTTTTAAATATTTTGGTAGATGGGTAACTAAAGCTGGAAACTCTTTTAAGGACATCATGGAAAAATTATAAGAGGAAGGCAAATAATTAAAACCCTAAATTCTGTGTTGGTAGACAAAAGATTATTTAAATATACAAAACAAATGCTATTCCATTTCTTTATTAAAGTCACTCTATATATATGGATGTTTACCAGAAAGGAAGAAAAGATATTACTATTGGAGATAGAATTTTGGAGACATTGTGCCATTTCCAGAGTCCAGGTTCCCAACAAATCAATTAGGCAGAATGTACAGCAAGAAAAAACATTTCTGTACAACATAGAAACAAAAAGATTAAAATGGTATTAATTTGGCCAGATGAGCGATGGCCATAATTGATCTTTCTATTTTAACCGATAGAAAGGGAAAAAGAGAAAGACTAAGGAAGAGATGGAGGAAGGCATGGCTATCAGAGGTCCTTGAGAATATACTGTTAAGACGACTTGAAAAGAGACTGGTTAGATCAAAAGAAATGGGTGGAACTTTTAGGCACGGCGAATGACTATGTTGTAAAAATCTTTAATAGAAAAAAAATTATTATATAGTCGAGAAATTGAAACCAGTAAATATATATCACTACTGTTAGTGTAAAAAGTTGTATTTAAAAATTGATTGTTATATAAGAGAACATAAAAACTGATTATTTCTTTATGATTTATTGGTATAATTCCATATATTGTTTCCCCCTATTTATTTTTAGTAGTAGCAGACTATTTATAACAGTTGCAGACTACAAAATGTCACCTTCAGCACAAATAGAACAAAAATGAAATTTTTTTACACATAACATTTTGCATTAACAGCAGCAGTATGTGTGTGTAAAATAGATTGTTTTTTAACATTAAGTTTTTGTTTTGGTATGTTTCTATCATTTTCCCCACCAGTAAAAAAAACAATTCTTTTTAAAAATTATATGATAAAATTAAAATTCAAAACATATGGTGCAAAAAAATATTTATTAACAAGACAATCATTGTAAAAATAATGAATATCTTTTATAATTGAGGTAAATGGATCCGTCAATATAATAAATAAATTAATTAATTAATGTCGCCACATTAATTCTGCTAAATACGAATTTAGTAAAGTTCCGTGGGTTCCACGAATTTTCCATTCAGCAGAGACCCACATTCTTTCTTTTTTCTGAACAATGGAAGAAGTTTCAGGATCCACAAAATTATAATTGAAAAAAAAAAACATAGTTTTTTTTACTGGAGAATAACAGAATAATACCTTTGTTTTTTTGCAGATGGAAGGCTAGTAAAGCATTTCTTAATTTCAGATTTAATGACATAACAAAAATGATTGTTTTAGAAAGTAAAAACAAAGTAATGATAGCTTTACCTCTCTTATTCCAGGGTCTAAACTTAGGACCCCTTGATCCAGGAGTGCCACTTCCCATTCCATCATCATTTGCATCTGAAGTTGTTTCATTGCTCTTATCTTCATCCATCTTAACAGGTGTATGTTGTTCTGGGGGCATTGAAGACTGTGGTTCAATTTTTGGTGGTACAGGCGGAGGAAGCTGTTGCGGCGGCTGCTGCTGCTGCTGTCCTTGAGGAGCTGATTGCTGTTGAGAGGGCGGTGGTAACTGCTGTGGTGGCTGTTGAGATGAAGGCTGCTGCTGAACTGCCTGTTGTGAAGGAGTCTTCGGCGATGATTGATGCTATAAAGTGCACATCAAAATGCTAATGCATGTCAAAGTACGGTGAGATAACACCCGGCATCCACTATTCATCCCACTCACGCACCATATTTTATTTAAATAAGCAAAACAAAAACCAAAGTATCAAAGTAAACAAGTAAAAAGTGATAAATTATTTTTTGAAAAAGTATTAGACCAATATTAAGTTACAGTAGTTCCATGATACACCAATAATACAATTGACGAATTCTGTTATTGAAAATTAAATGTAAAGAATTTTTCTTAAATTTTGTTTGAATTTTTCCTTAAATTATCAACCTTACAAAGTTAAAAAACTGAACTTCTTGTTTTAATTATTTAGCTTATTATTAGTGGGCATTTGCCGGGAAAATTTAGTGAGCCGGAGTGATTCCCCGCCGCAAATATGCTTAGCCCTGAGATGTGTCAGGAGAGGAAAAGAAAAAAAACATGTCAAAACAAATATTCTTTTCCTTTAATTAAGTTACCTTAAAACTTCCCAACTGTCCTGGATGATTCTATCACTATTTTTTTTTTATAAGGAAAAAAAATTGTGTGAAGCTTCCAGAACGTTATTTTCTGTCTTGCCGAATGTACTGTGTCAAGTATCATAAATATTTATTTGATTCTTAACACAGCATTCGGAACAATAAAAACATAAATGCTTGTTTTTACACACTAAGACAAGTAATGTAAAAACAAATTTAACAGAGAACTGCAATATATTTAACATGAAGAAATGAATTCACCATATGTGAACAAGACTGACAATATTAATATATTATAAATTCCTTACTGATGAGTGAAATTAGAATGACATATCACTGGGTCTCTTAGAAATAAAAGTCTTCCACAAAGGATTCATTCAACATTGGTCAAACAATTATGAACATATGATATGCACATCATATGATATGAAGTTTAATAAACTTGATTTATAAACAAACATAATTTTTCGATTAACAGTAGCAGTGCTTTAATTTACAAGAGAAATAACTAAAGTTATTTGCCAATATAATGAACTTAGTATTAAAAATGCATAAGAAAATAGGAAAGAGATATGACAATTAAATAACTTGGATGGGATAAATAAATTTAAATTGTTCATAGCAAAATGTGATGAGATAAATATCAATAATTAGAATTTTGAATGAAATCTGCACTCTATTAATTTAAAAATTGAAGCTTTCTGGAATGATATTCTAGGATGATTGTTATAACAAACCCATTTATTATTAAAAAGAAAATGAGTTTGACATTAGAGGAAAACATTATTATGGTCAATATGAAGGAAGTGCTATAACAACCATAACCATTTGACATAAAGCTAATACAAAAGTAATGGATAAATTATGTATTAAAACAAAAAGCTTGCAAACAAATATATCTTAATGTTTGCAATCATTGTCATAACTTCACCCATGGAAACAAGTTCACAACAATTAACTTTTTAATAATGAAAAATTATTAAGTGAAATTTTATGTAAATAATATTTAAGGATTTAAGTGGAGCTTATCTAATTTCTACGAGTCATTTTGATTTACTCAAAAATCTACAAGAAATTATAATGAACATTTCATAGGTCATTATTTTAATAGAAATGTAGTATAATCATCATACTTAATAATGAATATATAACTATTGTTTGCTAATGTAGGATTTTTAATGCTGAGTGGGATAAGATTAATATTATGTTCTGTATTATTTCTGAGATTAAAACTATCCTTGGGACTGATCTATCTACTAGTAAGGTAATAATTTATTGGAGAAGGATTTCAGGCTGTGATAAGGCCAATATGATCATTTTGTTAAATGTTAACTAACAAGGGAAAAGCGATATCAGAGATCCTGGGACATTGATTATATTTGAATTTTTATATATTTGGTAATGGATTTAAGGACAAGGCATAATATCTTATAGTTTAGTTTAGCTACCACCTTCATTACCCTTACACCTGAATCATTTCTAGGAATATGATTCTACACCCCTCTCTTGACAGTGATAATTTGAGAACAGATGCTCTATATCACATTCACACATTGTTTTTTCTTCTTACGAATTAAGGTATTTTATTAAATATTATTAAGGTATTTGATACATATAAGAAAACTTTATTTTGCTTTAAATTGGATGTTTCTAATTTTTCTTTGCGTTTTCTAAACATTTCAAGTTTTTAATACATAAAATTACATAATGATGTAGAGATGGTTGACCGTTGATATAATATGAGAAGGATTTAATTGGGGGGTGCGGTCAAATAAATACTAAAGTAAAATATAGCATTTATTTTACTTAAGTATTTATTTGACTGCACCCCCAATTAACTCCTTCTCATAAAATTATATACATTTCATTACTTAACATAATTGTTTGTACTTTATTTAAAAACTAAACAATGTTAAAAAAAAATTATGAAGGAAAGTTTCACAAGTAATACTTGGAGATTTATAACTAGCTATTTACATAAATACAAATTTCCTAGCAAATTCCCGATTCATTTAGAAATGATTTTCACCCTTCAAATCCATAAAAGAGAAGAAAAAAAAATCAAAAATACCCCTAAACTATATCAAAATAAAGTTCTTCAATTGATAAATGATACTACAGTTTACTCTATGGTGAAGCATTAAAAATTTACTTTCCACGTTACTTGTTTTGCAAAAGAATTAAACTGAATGGTGAAAAAAGTGTGAAATATTTTTTCCAGTCATTGTTAAAGGGATAGTGATTATTGGTTTGATAAATTCTAATAACTAGTAGTAGTAGGTTTTTTATTAAATGAGTAATTCAAACTACAACGAAAAGTTGCGAGAACGTAAGATTAATTTCAAAATCCATAAACCGCAGACAATGTTTAAAGAAGTAAGCATTAAAATATTAAAAAATTGATAAACATAAACCTAGAGAGCAATAGAAAAACTAGTACCAGAAATATTTAGGGCTTAATGAGGCTGTGGTGTATCTTTCTTGGGGGGAAAAAAACAAACAAAAGACATTTAGAGATTGATCCAAGTAATTGTGAAGATATTATATTATTTACCAAACATTAAAGCTTCATTTAATTTTACATTACTTAATCCAATATAAATCAAAGACAGCCAATTTAGATGAGTATATTAATAAAATTCTGAATAACCAAGCAAAACAAATTTCACTTCAGATTTAAATGTGAAAACATTAGCAAGCTCATGAAGTATAACTATTGATAACAACTTACATTTTGTTGATAGATGCGTGGATCACTGGCAGATTTGTTGGATCCATAGCTACTCGGAGTGCTGTAAGCAGGTTGGGTGTAAGACTGATTTTGAGATGAATGATAGTTTCCATGATGGCCACTACCACCACCATAAGAAGGTCGATTCATTCTAGTTCCTAGAATATAGTGAAAATACATAGCTATGTATTTATAATTTTTGTACAACTGATATGTAGCATGAGCCATGTAGTTAAGTTAATTATGGCACCAATTTTAACTGAAAAGGACCTTTTGGGAGTTTGCCGAAGTCGAAAACATAATATATTACAATAAAGGATGGCTATCTAAGTGAACTCAGCCATTCTTAGAATTCCACTTATAATATTATCACGAGACTTTGTGCCAATCCATGAAAAGGAAATAGTACATTGATATTGGCTGATGTTGCTCCAATATGACGGCTGAACACAAAACCACATTGATCACAAAATAGATGGAATTCCAAAAGTAGCTAAGTATACATCATAGGCAATATATCATAAAATTAATATATTGTTATTATTAGTTCCTTATTACTCTTTCAAGATCACTCAAAGCTAAGGTGACCAGACATCCCCTTTTTAACACTCCAAAGGAAGCGACATGATCGTTGGAAAGCTTAGTTGTTGCTCTTTAAGCCTATATAAAAAACTTCTATATTTAACGCCCTCATAAGGAATAAATAAAGGAAAACTGGAAACAGGTTTTTATTTTTTTTCTCAAAGCCTAATTTATTTACGGACCTCTGGTTTGTGCCATTTCGTCTATATTATAGTGCTCTAAATGCATGATTTTTTTTAAAATTTAGATATCTTAAGCTATATGGAAGTTATGACAACTTCTGTGATTTTTTAAGAAAAATTGAAGGCTCCTGCCTTGACGAAAATTTGAGGTAAAAATTTTTATTTTTGGATAGATATGAAAATTCGTATTTGAGGGTTTGTCAAGATGCAAAAGAATAATCTCAACTCCGTTACTCATTAAAAAAATATTTGAACCCACTTTGCTCCTTTGGCCGTTACAAATTGTTTTATTTCGGAGATGATTCTTTTAGATTTCGATAGTCTTTTTATTTTTATTTTGTAGGGAATTCAGAAAGCTTTCAAATAAATATTGGTATTATCAATAAAAAAAAAAGTGTACTTTTTGAGTTATTCGCAAATAAAATACTGTATTTTTGATCAATAAATTGATTTAGTGAAGTGGATCTCACAGATCCGTAGCGACCTTCAATGTGACTCTAAGGCTAGCACCCTTTGAAGAGTTAATATGTCCCGCATCATCTTAAAAAAGTTCCAATATTTGGAAAGAATGGAAGTTAAGGTAGGAAACGGCCGGAGAATAGGAAAAGAATATATGATTTTCTCACTACGATTACAATGTTGATCTGCTATTATAATTCGATCACCATTGTTTGGACTTACTGATGATAAACCCGAAAATAATGAGATACCATCGTTACTGCTGACAAAAAATATTTAAGCCTTAAAAACTGTCATAAGTTAGATGTCAAATAAATCAACTAATTATTCGCTCTCAACACACCTTTAGAACTAAATTCTCAACCTAATTTCATCTAAGGTTAGAATTTTTTTGGATCCTCCCCTTCAAGGCCATACAGGGTTTTCCTGGGTCAGAGGATGTGGGTGGGGATTTAAAGACTACACGGGCAGTAGGACGCAAACTTGTGACTATTTTACATCATTTGTTCCATATGTCAGGTTGCTGGGCAACGACGGTGCTGTGCACACGTGTCAGCCTGTTCGGCCACCCCGCCCACATCTGAATACTATGTCATTTAATTAACTTTTGCACCAGATTATCATTTTATAAAAACAAATTTGGACTATTGTTTAGACTTTTTAATCAAGAACCTACCCTCCCGCCAGTCAATGGGATTCTGCTTAACTAATATTAAAATCTGGTCACCTTACCCAAACATGCTATACCAAGATTGCCTAGGAGACTGAAAAAGAGAGTGGCCTTGACTTGAAGATGTTAATTTCATGGCACAAGGTGTAGATAGGTTTTTAGGATAGAATAGGTTATATTACTGCCTTATTAAAAAAAGAAAAATATTTCATAGCAAATAAACACCTAAACTGACGGTCGAAAATACTTTGTTTTGACCATTCTGTTTACATGGTTATTTATATACAAAAAGATTTCAATACAGTAGGTTGTCTATGAATGTGAAAATGATAGTCAATACTCAGCTACTTTCAGCAATTCCATAAATTGTGCTTTAAGAGATCTTAAACAGACACCATCTCATAGAATCAATTAGCAACAAGTAAGTAAATAAGTTTTTTCCGTTAAATATACATTTACACTTTTGTTTCGAATTGAATAATTTTCCTGTTATATTATATTTTTAGAGTTGATTAATATTCTCGTTTCATACATTAAAGTTTACAAGAACATTTTCAATGAGCATACCTCCTGAAAGACTACTTATATATATATATAAATAAGAAAATAAATTGTATACTCTCAGTAATAATAAACATTGCATTGACATCACAATAAAGCAAATGAGCTGGACTGAATATTGCCAATTTATTACAAAAAGACCTGAAGTGACATTTAATAACTTCAAATTCATCAAGATCTTTGATGAATTTAACCTTTATGAAATCAGAACAATTTGGTTTTGTTGAAGGTTGACAAAAAAAATATATATACATGAATGTCATTATTGAAAACTTTATACGTTGTTTTAACAATAAATAAGGTTGCAATTAATAAAAAACATTTGAATGTTAAGCTATGTATATTAATTAATACTTAAAGCAATCAACCAACAAACAATATATAAAACCACTATAACCACAAATATAAAAGAAATATCAATTCAATAACAGAAACTGGGGAGAATACAACAGGATGCATGTAAAAGGTATTGACTAATAAACCAAAATGACACATTATAGATAGTCTTAACTTGAGGCTCATTTACACTTAAGTAATAGTGGCATTAACAAAATATATTAATGTATTCTTCATTAATTAACATTAATAATGAATGAAGAACATACAAAATTTAAAGCTAAGGCAGTGAAAACATGTCTACTGAATTGCCGAAAGATAGAGTTAACACAGAACATTAAATATTACAAAAAAAAAAAATCTTACCTCCTCTTTGATTGTAGTACGACATTTTATTCTAAAAATTATTTCAGACTCAAAATACTTCACTTTACAACGGTTGACTATTGGAAATGTGAAAATCTACACAGGGCACGCCACAATGGCTACTTCAAAAGTACTGATGAAGACCAGCAAAGCGTCTTCCAGTTTTCAATCGATGAAAAATCCGTGTACTAATTCATAAATGGTTCCCAAAATAGTTAAGGAATTCATATAATTAAACTTAAATATTGTCACTAAAAACTTTTCATTTGTATTTTTAATAAATATTTAAATGTTTTTCTTCAGTATATATACATTTAAAAAAAAAACATTTTAATGATTTAAAATAAATATAATCATTTTAAAATTTACTAATTATATTTCTTCTTAAACTTTTAATTTTTTTATTAGTTTAATACAAATTTTATAAGTTTAATAATATATTTCCAACTTATCAGTAAATCTAAATAGCTTTGCTGTTAAATTGATTACACATGTGCCGGTTTCTGCACTTTTTGTATTTATATTTGTTCATTCTTTAACGATAAATGGCTTCTGTTTTAACTTCTCGACTAGTATTTTGTAAAGGTATCAGCCAAATATGCTTATATATTTTTAATATAACTGATAACTGACGATTTGTGGTTGTTAAACTTTTGTGAATATAGTCTCCTGATGAAATTCCTATTCTTGTAATAAATATTTTAAAGTTTGCAAATTTTCTGTTCATATTTGTTTATTATATTTAATATGAAGAACCCTATAGAAGAAAATATTCAATTTTTTCATAATAAGTAAAATAGAGTAACTGTCAAGTATTAGAATTTTTTCTTTTAGAGGCTTCTATCCATTGATATAACTAATCACTTCAATGAGTTTGAGCTGTGCAAAAGTTATTCAGTAGGGAAACACTTCATTTGTTATTTCTATTTACTTTAAACCAGAGTTCTCCTAACTTTTTGACCCATGGGCCACACTGAAACGTTCAGTAAGTCAGGCGGTCTGCATTGAGACCTCAAATAAGTACTGTGTGCCACATTGAAACGTTCAGTAAGTCAGGCGGTTTGCATTGAGAACTCAAATAAGTCCTGTGGGCCACATTGAGACTTCAACTAACTATGGCACGTCATGGTTTGTGGCATAAAAGATAAAGCTTGTTCTATAAATGACACTTCTGTTCTATATGAGCTTTCTAAGAGAAAGAACTCGTGCAGTAAACTTGTGTCTTTATGATTTACTAAATTTTACTATATAATCTGAATACTATTACAGGTCAGATTAGAGGTGCTTAGTGACCCCTGCTGCAAACTACAGGTCTTAGTCAATGGTTATGCAAGGAGGTGATTTGAGTGATATCACACTCAACGGCCAGGTTTTCCCTTTAAATTATATAATTTATAATCAATCATTAAAGGTACCCCCTTTATAGAAGCTGGGTGTGCCTCTGGAGGGTTTTCTGACCTAAGAGTTGCCCCACGGCTGACCAAAGAAAATAAATAATTTTTCTTCCATGAGCTGTGATTCGAACCTGGGTCGTTGAGCATTGGAAGATCAGTGCCCTATCACTGAGCTACCCCACTCCCCACTATCATCTATATAGATTGATTAATCAGATCATATCTGAAATTGCCACAAGGGAAACTAAATCCCTGCAATTTTTTTTTGTCATGATATCTGAATAATAGAAGATGGCAATTACAGTGTGTTTCTTGATCTTGAGTTGGAAACTTCTTGTGAATTGATGAAAAATTAGATGCAATATGGTATCATAGATTTTTCTTACATATCATGAAATACCATTTGAGCTTAAGCTGATCAGGTAGAACTTTATTTTCAGCAAGATAACAATAAAAAATATATTTTGCCATTTTCTGAAATAAAAGTAACGTTAAATAGAAAACTAAAAGAAATTATGAAATATAGAATATTTAATTAAATTATTGAAAAAACAAAAAATTACAATATTAGAACAATTTTAGGAGATGCACTCGGCTTCATAGAGTTTATACAAAGGCTCTTGACGTTAATATAGCGTAAAGACTGAAGTGGATAACGAAGTAGTAAAATTTAAACAATAAAGGTAGCATTATTCTAAGGGGTGGGGGCTCAACGTCAATGGATTGGTCCCTATGCTTGTTAATCGAAAATGATGCTAATTTAAGTATACATTAAATTTACAATATCTTCTAAGTTAAATCCGTTTACAATTAAGAAGATATAAACACTTTTTAGTTGAAAAATTTAGCATTTTTATAAAAATTTGGTTGAAGACGTCAAAGCACTATATATGTATATTTATGGATACTTTTGAAGTGATATAGAAGGTTTAGGGAAATAACTAAATGTGGGTTTCAATTTTGTGATGCAAGAGTTCGCTCTCGGGCTGCAAACTAATTGCAGTCAAAATATAATTTTTTTTAGATTCACTTTTATTTGTGATGACTAATCAATAATTGTTTATATATTTTTAAATGTTATATAGCATGACATACCAAATATCTGATATTTATTTATTTTTTGTTTTAGTTGCTCAACCTAATTGTTGGCAATCATTTTTCAATCAAACTACACTAAAGAATGTGGTAAGTATAGTAGATAATTTGTAAGTTACTAACATAGCAATTAAAAGATTCTTAAACTTTTATTTTTGTTTAGATCCTTAAATCCTTAGATCATCAATGATTTCTATTTCTATATTTTTATCCTTACATCATTTATTTACTTTCATGATATCTCACTTCATAAACTTAGCAGAAAACTTGGAAATGCTCTGCTGTGGCGTTATAACAACCATCCAAATCAAAACATGTCCATCCACTAAGTATTTTTTTTTAATTATTGGATTGTCCAGAAAATGATGCAGGATTTTGAGTTTTCTATAAAATACCCCTCTATATAACAAACTGTTTATGTTTACTGAATTATTTATTTGTATTAATATCAATACTTATTTATTAATCCTCTTCCAAACAAACAACAATTTTGGTTTACCTCTGTAGCATTTGGCTGCTTAGAAATAACTGGGTCTTTACTAAGATGTCATCACGTGATTTTTGTATAATTTAATTTTACGAGTTTAAACTCGTCCTGAATGGGGCTCAGACGGCCAACGTCAATTAAGTCTGGGATGAGAGCACTATTAATGAGTCCACTGTTCAACGGTGGTTGAAAAATTTTGGGGAACTTCAGTCTTGAAGACAAAGGTCTTAGAAGGACTTCCTCTCTTAATGAAGATGTTCTGATGGCTTTGGTGGGAGAAAACCCCAGAACAACTGTTCGAGCACTTGCGGGAAAACTTAACCTTAGCAAATCGACCGTTGATGACCACCTTACAGCAATTGGAAAAGTGAAAAAGCTTAAAAGTTAGGTTTCACACACATTAAACGACTGCCAAATAAACCAGCGTTATGAAGTTTGCTCGACACTTCTTTGTTACTTTTTGCTTCTTTTTTAAGTACACCACATTCCAATTTTAAATAGAATTCGTTATGACTGACGACCTTAATTTTTGCATTTTTGTAACTGACTTGATTTTTTGAACTTGGGTTAAAATATTTCAATGAAGAACCTTACGGCTGAAAGTAGTCTCCTTCGATATATAATACAGAAATAAAGAAAATGTAAGCCAACTGACCACTTAAGGCAGTTGCAGTTTAAAAACTGATGCCCCCAAATCTCCTTTATTTGTTGGATGAATTAAACTAAAAGACTTACGCTTGGAACTGGGTTCAAAATACGCAGCGAGCCAATCTAAAATAGAATGCGAGATGACTGACGACATTAATCATTGTAATTTTATAACTGACTTGATTTTTTAATTTGAGTTGAAGCTATTCAACAAAAAACAAGATATAACAACCCATGAAGGGTTATGGATTCAGTACAATGTGAGGCAGTACTGTTACAAGGTCAACGATTGTGCAGGGTGGTGATGGGCCAATATCACGCTCAACTGCTAGGTTTTCCTCCTTAATTAATTATGTAATTAAGAGTACCCAATTTATAAAGGCTGGGTTTGCCCCAGGGTCGACCCACGGCCAATGAAAAATTACTAGACATCAGCCATATTTGAACCTGAGACCTTGAGCTCTGGAAGTCAGTGCTCACCCACTAAGCTATCCCGCTCCTTAATACTATATATCACCAATATTTTAATACTGGTAATGATAATAAAATAATATTATATTATATAATACTAGCTTTACCCGGCCAGGTCCTGCTGTGGTTCAGTCTGGCAATATTGAGAACTATATTTGCGAATAATTAAAAAAAAAACAACTTTGCTTGGTTATACACATGATTATTTGAAAGCTTCCTGAATTCTGTACTAATTAAAAAAAAAATTAATCGAAATTGTTTGTCTTGTTGCAGAGATAATTAGAATTTATTGAAAACATCTAGTAGTTTTTCTTCTACAAAGACGATTTTATTCCTCTTGGTTTTTGAGTGATCGAAAACTTTACATTTACTCAAGTAGTTGAGTTTATCATTTGGAGAAGTGATTTAAGACTCCTTATTATAATTTTTACTTATAGTTTTGTATATAGAAAGTATTAAGATACCCCTCAAATACATGTGGTTTTTATTTTCTTTCTTTGCCATTTACTCAGACTGAGCCACACCAATGCTTGGCCGGTTAAAACTAGTATTAATAAGAATTAAGAAAGTGTATAATTGTATTGACCTATATAAGAACAATTATATCACTTCTTGAAATGATAATCTCGATTACTTCAGTAAATATAAAATTTTCGATTAATCAAAAACTACAAAAAAAAAAAAAAAGGAATGGTCTTTCCCGAAGAAAAAGTACTAAATGTTAAAATCGTTATATCATTGCTCCGAATCGTCCGATTTTGATGATTTTTTTTATTTGTAGGGAATTTAGGAAAATATTGTATAATTATGAGTATAATCAAGTAAAAATTGTATACTTTTTGAATTGTTCACAAATAGAATTCTGAATTCGTTGTTACATTTTTTGCAGCTTGTTTTCAGAAAAGTTTGTCCTGTGCATAAATTAAAAGAGTTTCAAGGGGAAAACTTTGGCCGAGTTTCATTAAAATCGTTACAGCCTTTTGGTGCACCAGTCTATAGCGACACACATTTTTCGCCCACCATTTCTAAAGAAAAGGCCACTTGGTTATGAAATGTTCATAAAACACTTCAGAATTTGATTGCAACTTTCTGTCTCAATTTCAAGGCAATTGTTGAAGAACTTTCACCAAGATTAGCTGTTTTAAACAAACCAACTGTTACATTTTAATTTTTCTACACAAAAAAAGTTATCATAGGACTCCTACCATGCCAGGAAAATTCGTGAGAGTGTATGTAACGAAGGTATATTATAATTACCAGATTTCCTCACTCAGAAATAAGTAATTGGAGGACTTGAATCATGACGTAAGAACTATACCACTAAACCTACCCATTATTTTTCCGAGCCTATCACTGAAGATTTATTGAATATTATTGTTATTTTTTTATTTTTATTTTTTTTTGTTCTCTTACCTAATTTGTTGAATAAACCTTCATTGTTTTGTTGACGTTAGATTGAAGAAGATTTCAGGGAGGAAAATTAATGATTACAGGTTAAACCAGAAAGGGAAAGAGAGAAATTGAGTCCAGGTTTCGAAGGTGTACATCAGAATTGTCTTTTTAATACTATTGATTGCTCTTAATTCGAGTGTTTTTTTGTTTGGATTTTAGTACTTTTGAAAGATAGAAGAAAACTGTGCTTGTTATATGCTGCCCTATTTTGACCGTTGGTCCTTGAGGTTATAATTGAGTCAAGATTTTTCAATCTATTTACTCTTGGATACAACTTTCCTTCTAATCCTGTGTTGAAGTGGAATTTTTAGCTTACTACCATATATTTTGTTTTTTATCTTCATCTACTTATAGGACGATTTGATCAACTTCTCTTATCAGAGTCTTTCGATGTCTTCATGATCGCTTCCTAGAACAGCTATATTATCTGCGTATCTATGAATTTTATGATTCATTCTTATATGCTTTCCTATATTTTCATATGATGTGCTGAAATGAACATCTCTGAAAGTCCCTCTTCCTACCAAAACTGATTCGAACTTTAAAGGCTTCAGATACTTCTCCTTGTATCAGGCCTCGACATTTGATATCAGTATATGCCTTCGTTGATTTAACTAACTTCTCAGGACCACCAGTTCTGTCTAGATCTTCCAAAGATAATTTCTGTCTATGTAATCTTAGATGGCTTTGAAATTTACAAATAAGGCAAGCCCATTCTGAGGTACTTCCCATTGTTCAAGCATCTATTTTAGGTATCTTACAAATTGAAGAGGAGATTGCTTGGGATAATCAGTCAAAGAAAAAAAAGAAAGTAAAAATAATTTAGTATATTTATTTTTAAAAATTATACTTATTTATTTTTACATTATTATTATTATTATTATTATTATTATTTTGACTGATCACCCCAACCAATCTTCTCTTCAATTATTCACTACAGTCAACCATGAATCCACAATTATGTATATATCTTAAAATTTATATATTTTTTAGGTCATTAGTATTGTGGATTGCAGTATTTAAATATTGAATTGTACCAATTATGTATAATTATTATTAATAAAGATAAGTTATGTTCTATTTCGAATATTTCGGTGTCTTGGGATTTTTTTCAAAAAATGACCAGAAAAAGTTTAAGAGTTTTATTAATATTTTATAATATTGACGGATAAAAGAGAGAAAACATTTTCAAATATAGACATTAAAAAATCTAAATTATACTGGGCAGCAAGATGTTGGGTGGCCAAATGACCAACAACTTTGGCATAAGAAAAAAAAAATTAATATTTTATATTCTATTCTATAGTTTTAACTATATAATTTTAATTAACCTATTATTAGTCAAATATATACTGTTTTTATTTTTTTGTAGGGGAAAAGTACAAGACTTAACCAGTGTTTACCATCAATACTATCCATAACTGTTAGGAGTTATGCTGAAAAAAAAGTTTTCCAAAGGAGTAAACCTCATTGTAATGTTGGCACTATAGGTCATGTAGATCATGGAAAAACAACCCTTACAGCTGCCATCACAAAAGGTAATTAATATAATACTTAATATTATTAAATTGTCATTTTATAGTATGCCTTATAGGATGGTTCTGTAATTGCTGAGACATCATAGCAGGGCTATAATCTTCAGCATTATTCCAGTATGGATGCTCCCATAAATGATTTATTCTTTGAATTCGCCTTCTTGTTATTGTACAAGCCAGAATTATAATTTTGTTGCCTGAAGAATCGGATAATTGATTATTTATCTTTCAAACTCACATAATTTATATATATTTCAAACTCACGTAGTAAAATAACAGAGATAATGGATATAAATAGAAGATGCAAGAGGCACATGCATGCTTGGTGTAAAGATCTTTTATCAAGATGCAAGACGCACATGCATCCTTCGTCCAGGACACATGCATCTTGCATCTTCAGTGTGAAAGGGGCCTAAATAATTTTGGTTAAATTCATTGTATCAGTGTAAAATTAAGCTGTTTTAAATATAATGTAGGTCTTATCCTCATTAAGATTCTTTAGCAGAGTTAAAATGTCTAATTTTCAAAATTTGTTCCTCCAAAGTACCTTTATTTTTTTTTATTTGAAATAATTAACCATTTCACATTGGACAGTGATATAAAATATGGTTAAATATAATGAATGAAGAAAATTGATTGATAACTAATGAAGAAATAAAGGTTGGAAGCTATATGAAAACTGCCTGACCTTTGCCGATCCTCTCCCTTTACAGATACCTCGTATCCCGTATCACTCTGTATAGGATGCCTTCATATTGTTAGTTTAACTTTTATATATTATTTATCCATAATTTTTTAAAAAGGTTTTCAATTGTAATATTAAGGCTCTTCTAATATAAACCTAATAATTTATAATATTTACTGATAAGTTATTTTTTCAGTGAGTTTTATGAGAAATGTTTCTGAAAAATCTCAGAATTTTTCCAAAAGATCCATTTTTCTCCACAATCATTAGTAGTTTTTGATATTATACACAGTTGTAAAAAGAAATGGAAAGTGATGCAAACATATAAATTTAGCAGATTCGATTAGTGGGAAAAACATGGTATTAAAGGAAGTTATAGCATCGTTTTCACTTGGGCTTTCCTATTTATGAAAAAAGTATTTTAATTTAAAAAAAAAAAAACTGACTACATAAATTGATAAATTTTATCATCCACCCTGAGGGAATGTGTCTATTGAATATTGGGGGTCATATCTACTGAAATATCTTGATAGATCGATGGACAATTGAGATATACCAATATTTAAACTTGGTATAGTAGTCAGGTTCCTTTCATTACACATTACGATATATTTATATATATCGCAAATGTTAAAATAAATATTATTATTTATATTAGCCATTTTTATTTCTGACTGATCACCTCAACCATCCTTCTCTTCATTATTCACGATAGTCAACCGTCAACCCACAATTATATTTATGTATATTTACGATATATATAAATATATTTTGTCCCATTTATCAGTGCATGTAAATATCCGAAAGAGGTGTTAATATAGAAACCCGACTACTACACCAAATTTAAATATTCGTAGATGTCAATTTCCTTATAAATCTATCAAGATTTTTCAGTAGATATGGAAGTATATTCTCTTTGGGTGGATAAAATTTCCTGATTTTTGTAGTTTTTTTTTTTAAATTAAATATTTTTTATTTTTACTTTTTAAAATATTAACAATTCATTTTCAAAATATATGATCATATGATATAATTTCAAATTAATTAATAATCAAGATACCTAAACTATAATAATTTTTTTTTTTTAGCATTTTGAGCTCAAATTGTTTCAAAACATTCACGGGATTTAATTGAGTAATTACAGCCTTCAAAGTTAAAAATCGATCATGTCATCTAAATCTACATAAAAAATCTTTATGTGCCTTTTAGTGGATTGATTTAATACACAACACAATGATTTGACATAATTTGAACCATCAAATTTAAAAATTGATTCACTCTTTCGCTCAAAACATTGTAACATGCCTTTTAGCAGACACCCCGAACACGTTGCCCCTGTGTCGTTTCGCTTTTTAAATACCCACAGGACCTCTGTATCATACGATATATCAAACTTAATAATCGATCCATCTGTCCGCTCAAAACAAAGCTTTTTGCAAATTGATTCAAACACATCTTATTTAATATTGGGTCAATATTGTTAACTCAAATTGTTTAAAAACACTCAAGAGATCTCACTGAACAATTTGAGCCATCAAACTTAAAAATCGATCCAGCCGTTTGCTCAAAACAGTGTTACAAAGCTTTTTGCAAATTGATAAAATATATTTTATTTAATAACGGGTCAGTATTTCTAGTTCAAATTGTTTCAAAACACAAAGGGGATCTCACAGAATAACGTGAGCCTTTAAACTTGAAGAACGATCCAGTGGTTCGCTCAAAAAAGTGTTACATAGCATTTAGTGGATGACCCAAACATGTAACCCTTGTTTCGCTTTGCTTAGTCGAGTAAACATACCTATCTATTTTAAGATTGGTAAGTGTGTGATGCGCGCACAGTACTAAATTTTTCTTCTTTTGTTTTGTTACTAAGTTTGGTTTAAAATTTGTTATACTTTTGGTCATTTGTATCTATTGAATTATTATGCAAAATTCATTTAAAAAATGATGTTTGATATTATTTTGTTAAAATATTTTAGTACTGGCTGAAAAACAATTAGCTAAGGCTAAGGGATATGCAGAAATTGATAATGCTCCAGAAGAGAAAGCCAGAGGCATTACTATAAATGTAGCTCACATAGAATATCAAACAGATAAACGCCATTACGGTCATACTGATTGTCCTGGTCATGCAGATTATATAAAGGTAAGCTTAAGTTTTTTTTAATTCTTATTTTTTATTCCTGTATTAATTCCATTTTCCCAGAAACATTTGTTGACTAGATTTAATTTTACTTTTCTTCTAAATCAGGGATCAACACTAATAATTTCATGGATTAATTAACTTAAAAAGATTTTTCAGGAGATTTAATACTTTCATTGGCAAAGGAAATTTTTTTTATGTTAGAATCTTTTTCAGGGTATACTTATAGTATACGATAGCTATCTATTGTCACATACTCATACCTTTAAAGAGGCCAATGGGACATTGTCAAACAACTGGCTAATGAAAAAAATCGCAACCACTTGTCTTTTCAGATAAAGTGAACTCAAGATGTGAGAAGATTGTTTAATGTGCTTATAAACCAGTTTCTAGAGCACTTCTTGAGAAATATGCTGGTTTCTGGAGCTGCAATCTTCAACAATTAAAAGAGAAAATAAATAATCTAGAGCCATAATGGAAGACAGCAAAAATATCAAAATAAATAACTGAAAATTAAATTAAGTGAATTGAAAATTTTATTTGAACTGCATTCTGTTGTTGATTCCATGTGACGGGCATAGCACTTACTGCTGTTGATTTGGTTAGATGAAATTTTCAGGGATTGTGAGTGTTGATACTTAGTTGGTCCAAATCAATTTTATCAAATTCTGTGTATTTCTTTCACTCATGTGTGTTTTTCCTTGAGAAGACTATACTTCAATTTGCTTTCTTCTGTTGATTTTGTTCACCCAAAACAAATCATAGACCTTTAAATATAGATAATCATGTAACCAATGGAAAAGTTGAGGAAGCTTACTAACTAACCCTACTTAGCAGACTTTGTTTTAACATTCAAGTCATTATCATCCCATATTTCAATTTTTTTTTATGATTCAAAACAATGATAACCCTTCCAGAAATTGATTTTAAAATTCGCACACTAAAGAGAAAAGATAGTAAATTTTTATTGAGGAATGAAATGGTCAGGGGTGGCAGTTATAAAAAAATTAAAATAGTGAACTACTTTATTTAAGCCAACGTCTCAATCCAACTAAGCAGGTCTTCATAGTCCTGACTGAACCCCTGCATAGTTGGGACAAAATTGGGTCATCATAAATATTGTCATCATAATCTTTCCTACAGGCGTCTGAGTTTTGAACTTATATGCTGTGGGAGATGAAGGATGGTTAAGGGGAGCTAACTCTCAGGTTCTAAGTGATGGACCCATGTCTCATCAATGGTTATTATTGGCATAAGAAATGAATCTCGTTCTTCTTTGTGTTATTCAAATTGCTTCTGAGAAAGTTTCAAATGATTGTCTTTGTGGATGCTGGTCAACTGACATATAGCCCAGCTAGCACCAACTTTTTTTGAAGTTATAGACTCATGGATGATTGAATATGCTGAATCATGGCTTACATTCTACTCGCTTTCAATGTCATCAACTGTAATTCATTGCTTATCGAGAATCATTTGTTTAACTATTTCAATATTACCATTAATCTTTGAAGCAGAAGGCCTACTAGGCCACTGTTCATCACATAGAGAAATCCTACCACTTTTAAAGCGATCAATCCATTCTTTGATCTTGTTTCCACTCAAACAACTCTTTCCGTATTGTTGTAGATTATTTGACGAATAATCTGCTAGTTTCACACTTCAATTGAGGAAAGGTATCACTCCTCGCATTTCTTCCTTGGTGCAATCGGCCAAATGAGAACTTATTTTGAACACAATTACAGGTAGCTAACAATGAAACAATACAGGCTACAATAAACAGCTGATAGATATTATGAGCTATAGCTGAACAATCAGTGCTGGCATATACATGATTCAGAGGAAAATCTAAATTTCCCTTTACTTTTTAACTTGCCGACGTATTTATAATTTTATTTTTTATCTGAGATGATATTCAGTCTTCGTATTTTGCAGTAAATTTGTCTTTTTTTCCCATAGAACATGATAACAGGAGCTGCACAGATGGATGGAGCTATATTAGTTGTGGCTGCTACTGATGGAGCGATGCCTCAGACTAGGGAACATCTTCTATTAGCTAAGCAAATAGGGATTGAGCATATTGTTGTATTTATAAATAAGGTAAATTAATATTATTTATTTAATCTGATAAATTAATTACTTTAGATTCTGTAAAATTTCAATATTTTGATAGGGAGATCAAAGATGACATAATGGCTGACTGTGTTGGGCATGGGCCCTAGAGGAACCGGTTCTGAGCATTGTGGGTTCAATTCCCACCTGGGTCGGTTAATACTTATTTCTCGGCTGCTCGAGGAATGAGTAGAGAACGCCAATCTGGTATGTACACGGCAGCAACCTCAAGCTAGCCGTCAGGGTTGGAAAAAAGAAACACTTTGATATACTATTAGGGAGAACCAAAATTGATATTCATTTTTTATACCACAGATTATTCCTATGTTTTGACCAAATCAAGACCACATGTTTGTTTGAGTGTATCCCATCTTACTCTGGATTTCCAGTCGATTTAAAGAAACAAAACATTATATTTGTCCTATAACTAACATATGAGAACAAAACAAAAACAATTTGGATCAACAATTGTAGCAAAATTGTGATAAAAATTTTATTAGGGAGAAAAAGTTTATATTAGTTCTTGAAACTCATAAAACTATTTAATAAGAATTTTCCAAGCAATGAAAAAATTAGGCCACTTATTTTTTTTTAATCACAAAAATTATGAAACGATAAGGAATGAAGGAAATGTAAACTACACAGAATGGCAGAAACCCGACCATCATAAACAAATTAGAATCAGAGATATGAAAGAAAAACATTTGCGGTATTTGTCTTTATTTTTACATTTGAAGGCATAAAATCTAAAACAATTACAACTGAAAATGTAAAAAAAATCAAGTCCTAACCCTTTTTATTTTTATAAATACTCTTATAAAGAGTTTTATGTGAGACTAAAAATTAATCTGACTTGCTTTTTCTTAACTGAAATTTACTTGACCTACTTAATTGAATATATCTTATGTTTTTCTAATTTCTTATAAATTTGAACCCATTAACATAGAACATGTTAACCATTATCAGATTAAAATAATATTTATCAGTATTATTTTTTCTTATTCTGCACATAAAAAAAAATTGATTGGTATGTGATAACCTGGAAATCTGTGCAGAACTAAGGCCAAAAAACAATATCAAAAATTATTTAAATTGGATTGGAAAAAAAATCCTTTGTCCCAAGGGTGCTTTAGCAAGAATCCAAAGATGTTTAATAATTTTTGTACTAGTACTACCAAAAAATGAAATTGATGATACCATCTCCATAATCTCTCCTTGTAAGTAATGTTTCCTAGCCAAATTTCTGAATGTAATGAGATTTTATTAATTTTTTTAAAGTTTGAATTAAATTGATTTAATGATAATATGAGGAGTTGGTCGGGTGGTGTGGTAAAATAAATAATAAAAAAATAGTATTTTTAATTGTGCCTTGCAGGTCTTCTTCAGGGCTACAATAGATACAAAATATAAAAGGTAGATGGTGAAATTAAAATAAATGAATCATAAGTTCATATTAAATAAGAAACAGTTGTCTGATAAAGAAATAATAAGATGATATCTTATTAATTTGATGATATCTCTGATGTCATCTTATTATTTCTTTATCAGAAAACTGTTTCTTATTTGATATCTACTTATAATTCATTTATTTTATTTTCACCATGTACCTTTTGTAGTATTATTGTTTTATTTTGTATCTTTTGTAGGCCTGATGAAGACCTACAAGGTTGGTCGAAATGTCGGCATAACAATTAAAAATGCTATTTTTTAAAAATTTAGTGTTTATTTGACCGCACGCCCCGACCAACTCCTCATATTATATCACGGTCAACCATTTGTACATCATTATGATTTAATGATACATTAAATCAATTGAATCAAATTCTGAAATAAAACCACAGAATAGATCTGATTTAGTGTTTAGTTGCAAGATTTTGTATGTAATGCCTACTATTGATGATCGGTAAACATTTGTTGGGAAGTCTGTTTTCCTTGAACACAACAAAGTAAAATAATGTTGATTTATTGTTAATAATGAATAATATGCAATTGGTTTTATTTAAAACATATATGTTCTTTTGATTGTACCAAATTTAATAAGTTTTTCTAATTTATGTTCTATATTATAGGTAATATTTATAGAAGTATTTTATATTTGAATTTTTTTTTGTGTATAATTTCTGTAATTTAAAGTAATGATTTTTCCCGGGTCTGCTAACTAGTCAGAAATTACTGGTATCCTCACTTTAACAAAAACAATGATTTCCATGGTACTAACTGTAAGTTATTTATAACTTAATTAACAGTTGCTCTGAGTGAAACTTGATAGTAAACTTCCCTTGGGCAAATTCTAGTATCGTTTGTATCTAAGCACATCTAATATAGGTTCAGCTATCTATAAAGGGACCATATTGATGGATCTGAATTAATTCAACAGCAATGTAACATCTTTGTGTCCTCTAAGGCATGTTGTTCATAGACTGATCTTTCAATTTACCTTCACTTTTTAGTCTCGAAAAATCCCACCATGATTCTTAATAAGGAAATATGTTCATGACTCCTATGCCTATGTTGCCTTTGGTAGAGTTGTCTTCTTTAAATCTATGTTCTCTAGCAGGGACTCCTTAGTTTTATCCATGTCTGGATAAAGTACTGGGGAGTTGGATTGTATATTATTTATCCAATCCAAGTAATGGACAACACAGATTTATAAGATATTTAATGCTTGACCATTGACCATGTATATAGTTAGGGAAAACATGCTCTGTGTGGGGATTTTGTTACAATATTTGAAGTTATTTATGACAGATGTCTCCCCACAATAGAGGAATGTACATATTTTTTCACATTTATTAAAATTATTTTATTTTGCTTTGTTCAGGTAGATGCAGCTGACAATGAGATGGTAGAATTGGTTGAAATGGAAATTAGAGAATTGATGGCTGAAATGGGCTTTGATGGTGCAAATCTTCCAGTTGTCAAAGGTTCAGCACTTAGTGCTCTTGAAGGAAAACAACCAGAAATAGGTATGAGACTATCTTATGAAGAAAAGTCTGTAAAACACAAAAACAAATCAGAAAAAAAAACTTCACAGCCTTTCAAATTGAAGGTTTTATGCTAACAAATCTTTTTACAAACATTATGTTTTAAAATATTCAAAAAGACAGGGTCTATAGCTATCAGGCAATTGAAAATTATGTCAGGGATTTTGTACAGTTAAGAAAAAATTGAGAATTCATTGTAAGTTATGTAGAATTTCATAAACTTTAGGAAGCTAATTTAATTATATGTTATTCTTATTTTAACCATTTTTATAATGATATTAAGAAGACCAAATAAACTTAAATTTAATATAATAATATATAGCTAACATTTCCAGAAAAATTAATATTTCTTCAGTAATTTTCTTTTGTGGCCCTAAATATTGTGACAAGTACATGAATAAAAGGTAAAGTGATTAAATCTTCTTTTTTTTTATTCATCAAATTTACAACTGTATAAAACTGAGCATAGCTGAGCTTCCAAAACCGAATCAAAAGTTTTTATTGACAGCCTGGCCACCAGAGTTTCCATTTTGAAGGTATGCTCAGCTTTTCCCTCCACACCTACTCACAACTGTGTGACTTTGATCCTCAGTGTCATAGTTTTTTCCCTGCTCGTTTTCACTGCATAGCCTCTTAAATTATTTTATTTTGGTTCAGTGTAAACTTTGTAATGGATGTGGAAGAATTCTTAATCGAATATGTAAAGGAAAAATTTGATTTTATACACAAATAATAGATTTTTCTTTTCAACTCTGACATGATCTACTTTGCTAATTTTACTTTCACTTATCTATATATGTAATATATAGTAAGGGACATTATTGCGATCGTGAAAATTTTCGAGTTTATAAAGGGAATACATGTTTTGAAGTCTCCTGTTTCCAAACGACCAAGTCCCGAAAAATGGTCTGTGTGTATATGAACACTAGCTCAAAATCGAAAAATCGTACGAAACTGATATTATATATTTAAGATAGCTCTATGCCTTAGATGTCACAGCAACTTTTTCCTTAAAATCGGCTACCTGGAAGTGCCACTTTATATCAACAATTTATACAATTTTCTGAAAACCCGGAAAGTGGTGTGTGTGTGTATATGTATGTGAACAGTCTAGCTCAAAAATTCATAATCAAGGTTTCTATATAATTTGTATGTTACAGCAACTTTTCACTTAAAATCAGCTAACCCGAAGTGCCACTTTATATCAACGGTGAAACACATTTTTACAATTTTCTCAAAAGTGACTCTAATGATTTTGATTAAACTCGGTGTATCATTGTATAATTGAATGGTGTTTAATACCAATTACGTTTTATCCCCATTGATGTCACTTAACAGTTCTTAAATGCCCAATTTTCGTATACGTATTCCTCTATAGTACCTTTAATATAGTTTATTTTAAATAATTGCATATTATTATGATTATAAAATATTTCATAAATATGTTTATAACCTTAAATATATTTTCTGTAGTTTAATAACTCTGGATCTGATATTATATTTAAATAATTAGATATTTATCGTCCGTTTATTCCGAAAAATCATCATGTAACTTTTAGAAAATTAAATTAGTGAATAATTTGATGAATTTTCCGTTTGTGATATTCCAACAGCATCCTCTTACAATTAGTGTAAACACTTTTGACCTGTCTATGACAGACAATCCAAATCTCTTAATTCCATTTTAGTAAACTTTCCAATGGAAAATAACAGTTTAATAATTAATAGTCATACAATCCATAATCAATGGATCGTATAATCCATAATCAACAGATCCTACAATCCGTAATCAACCGATGATATAAAAAATAGGACTTTTGTTATTTTAATGATATTTATGATTTGCTAGATGTAAGCATTTAGCTTAAGCTAATTTAAAAATGCAATTTATATATGTGTGTATATATATATTTTTTTTTTTTTTTTTTTAATGTTATATGTTTTCACTGCACAACCTTTCAAATTATTTTATTTTAGTTCAGTATAAAATATGTGGGGAAGGAGTAATTTTGCTGAACTCTGGTGGATAAGTTCTTTCCTGTTTTTAGAAAAAATAGTCACCAACAAAAAAATTCCTGACTGATAAAAGAGTAAATTTTTCTTTTATCTAGATAAAATTGACATGAAGATGCCAATTTTTTTTTTTTTTTTTTTTAGATGAAAAAGGTATTACAAAATGTTTGAAATTGGCAAAAACGTTACAAAATAAACAATAATAATAATAAATTTTTTATTTGTTTTCGGGGGAACCCTTACAAATTAAGTTGAGTTTTATATATTTACATTTATAAGAGTATACATAAATATGGTACCTAATTCACTACATTAATTGTAAAAACCATATATAATATAATTTACAAAATATAATTTTTGTGTTTGATATAACTATAAACAAAACGATCTTTCGTTAGCAAAATAAAATAAATGCTTAGTCCTAATATTATATTTACATGTAACCTTAACCTTAGTTAACATTAAGAATTGATGAAACTATTTATGATTGAACAACTTTTCTACATACTAGTATAAATCATTGAATTTATAATTGTTTTCTATATCTAATAATTGTATGATTTGATCTTTATTGTCACAATCACCACCAATATATTCATTGAAATACTTATGTCTGAAAGCTACACATGTAGGACAATTCAACAGAAAATCGTTTAAAAAAAAATAATTGTTTATGTAATAAAATATAAATGTTTTAATAATTATGTGTTATGTTTTTGGGAAATGAATGGGTCCAAAAAAAATGTTTAATTACTGTTAATTAACTAATAATAAATTAGCGTTATTAAAGCCCAATATTTTTATATAATATATATACTTATGTAATATAGGCTCAGAGGTTAAGATGGGCAGGGCATGTAACTCATAGCAATCCATCTAGAAGCCTCTACGTAAAAATGAATATCTTATTAGAACGCAAAAGACCACGTGGAAGGCAAAAAATCAGATGGATGGATTAGATAGAATCAATAAAGATGCAATAGAGCACCTTGCAGATAAGTGAAAAGAAATAGCCCAAGACAGGCAGGGATGGAGCGAGCTTGTCAACACAGAAAAAGATCTACATGGACTGTAATGCCAATAGAAAAAAAAATCTATAGTGTGTGCTTAAGACAAGTGAAAACATAAACAAGGCAGGCTTAATAACATCAAATATTTTTTTGGTCTATAATAACATTATACAATTATAATTGTGTTTAAATTACTCTAGTACACTTTGATCCATCTGTTTATACTAAGTCAATATTATACTCTGAAAATGAAACAATAGGTTAATGATAACTAAAATATGTGATGATTGTCAAATTTTAGTATAATTTTTCATATTTAATACGACAATATTTAGAATGGAATTCGTTCTGATTTGGTTTTTAACATTATATCTCTCTTTTTACCTCTCTAATACGGTGTCATGTCAATATACAATTTTGAATAATAGTTCATTACAAAGAGGATGAAACTCTGAACAATTTCCTTGCTTACATTACAGTATGCAAGTCCGAGTTTTAGTTTTTGAGATATTTTAATCCATATGCAAAAATACTTCAATTACTTTACTCCAGCTGACATTAACCCAGCATTACACATTGGAAATCGGACGGCTCAGTCTAATTCATTCTCCACAAAAAAGTGCAAAACGTGCCTAAATAAGTTAACTAATATATATATATATATATATATATATATATATATATATATATATATTTATTTGTGTTCTGTTGGCATTACAGACCATCTTTTGCCGCCTCAACAAGCCTGCTCCATCTCTGCCTGTCTTGGGCTATTTCTTTCCATTTATCTATATGCAGCTCTATTGCATCTTTGTTGATTCTATCTATCCATCTGCTCTTTGGCCTTCCAAGTGGTCTTTTGCCTTCTATTGGGGCATTCATTGTTACTTAAAGGCTTCCAGATGGAGCATTATGAACTACATGCCCTGCCCATCTTAACCTCCATGCCTTCATATCTTGGGATTATGATTGACCAGTTTCTGTAAGCAGTTCTTTGTTGGTCTTTCTTCTACATGTGTTAGTACTCTGATCCCTGATCGCTCCTGTTATCCTGCGGAGGATTTTTCTCTCAAATCTTTCAAAAATTTTCTGTGGTGCTAGTTATTGTCCGGTTCTCACAGCCATATATTAGAACTGGCTTTATCATAGCATTATACATCCTTAATTTTATATATATATATATATATATATATATATATATATTTATGTAATAAAGAAATGAGTTATCAATTAAATGGTGAAAAAAATAAAGATAACAGATGTAGTAAATTTCTCTTTAGCAATATTTTAAACTAATATTGTAACTTATGTATTAAATAATAAATTCTATAAGTTTTCTTTATTTGAACACAGCCTGGAAACCTCTGCTTTAAGAGAATACAAATGTTTGACTATCTACTAATAAGAAAAATTACAATGTATTGATGTTTTATTTACATAAGTACCAAATTATTGTAGTAGGTTATTCATCATTGCTAAATATTGAACTTGAATTTTTGTTTGCCCATTGCCATTGCAAAAATAAATTTTACTCTCTAAGTTTATTATTATTATAAATTATATACAAGTTTAATATACAGATCATAATAAACTCCATGGAATTTTTTATTTTCTAGGTGCGGAAGCAATTTTAAAATTATTGGACGAGGTTGATAATTACATACCCACACCAGTTCGAGATCTTGATAAACCTTTCCTTTTGCCTGTTGAAAATGTTTACTCGATTCCTGGTAAATACTATAGTCAACAGATAGATTAAATTATGAAAATTGTTGTAAATAATTAGCACTTTTTATCCTGAACTCCTTATTACTTAATATATATAATTTTTCATTTATTTAATAATTTTTTTATGTAAGGAAGAGGAACAGTTGTAACTGGAAGGTTAGAAAGAGGAATTGTAAAAAAAGGAAATGAAGTTGAATTTATTGGATTTAGTAAATCAATCAAAACAACAGTCACTGGTTTGTATATTATTTGACTTATACAATAATAATTATCGTGATCAGTACAGTATATACAGCTAAACTTGACATGTTTCTAGGGATAGAAATGTTTCACCAGATTCTCGAAGAAGCACAAGCAGGTGACCAGCTCGGAGCACTCGTTCGTGGAGTAAAAAGAGAAGATATTAGAAGGGGAATGATTATGTGCAAACCAGGCTCAATGTCAGCACAGGATCATTTTGATTCACAGGTTATTTATTTATTTTATTTTACTGTTTTATTTTTATTACTGAACAGCATTTCAGCTTAAGACAAGTAATTCTCATAAATTTTGTTACTGTTCTTTGATTTATTTTTTTTTTGTAATTAATGAAATATTTGATTTAATTATCTTTTATTTCATACAGCATAGAACTGGAGTTGCACTCACACTTGAATCTCATAAAAGTAGAACTTGTAAATTTCATTTAGATATTTCATATTTTTTTGTGTAGGTATATAAAATGGGAGACAAAAGTTTCAATAGAAATAGAACGATAGGCATTTTTTATATTTCTATTGAAAATTTTGTTTCTCATTGTATATTAAAAAAAAAAAAAACATTAAATACAAATGTACCTGTGTCCTATAAGGCACCAGTATGACTGCAACTCTATTTCTATGATGTACAAAATGTATACGTGTATACTTGAAAGCTAAATGGTTCAAAAAAAAAAAAAAAAAAAAAAAAAAAAATAGTCATAGAATAATAAAGTTGTTCTAGTTGGGCCATGCGAATAATTTTCACTATATATTAGTCAGTAAACAAATCTTAATATAAAATGGTAATAACAAAATCTAATATATTATGAGTGGAAAGATTTTTTTTTTTCTTGGTGTCTTACAATATTTCATTATATATATATATATAGAATAGAATAGAATAGAAAAATAATTTTATTCTGGGACGAAGCCCCTTCAGAATAACGAAAAAGTACAGAAATTAAAATTTTATATCTGGCCAGTTAAAAACAAACATAAAAAGTTAAGATAAAGATAAATCATTTAAAAAAAAAAAAAAATATTGGTTATACATACTATATACAAAATAAAAAAAAAAAAATCTATATACAAAACTCTTGAAACCATACTAAGATACTTAAAACTATGTACAATGTTAAAATATAAATAAACCCTTTTAGAAAAAATAAAAAATACAGAAAAAATAAATGTAAATTCTTCTTAACAGTAAAATCTGTGTTCCTGTTGAAAAAAGAAAAAAAGAAAGTCGAATCTATAATAAGTATTTAGGTTATGAGCTATATGTGAATATGTTATTATAAATAATATGTAATTTTACATAAAAGGTTAGATGGCATCTGACTGTTTTTGGGACAGGAATTGGATTAGGAGGGTTTTGAATGTAGATAAGGATGAAGAATGTCGAATTTTGATAGGAAGGGAATTCCAGAAACTAACAGAACGAGCAATAAAGGAGTTTTGGAACGAGGCAGATCTGTGAGAAGGAATGTAAAGGTCGGAAGGTCAAGATCTTGTGGAGAGTGAGTGGACTGAGGACTTGAATTGGAGAAGGTTGTAGGCCGTAGGAAGGACGATGATTGTTGATGATATGATAGAGGAATGTACCTAGGAAATATTGTCTTCGAATGGAGGGGAAGAGCCACTCTAACTCAGTGTAGTGGTGAGAGACATGGTAGTATCTCGGGGCACCAATTACAAATCTCACGCAACTCTTCATTAATCTTTTCAGTCTGTTGCGGAGCTCCACCGAGAGTCCGTCATACACCACACAGCAGTAGTCAAAGTGGGGGAAGATGAGAAAGGAAACGAGGAGTCTGCGCGTATGTTGAGGTAGGAGATGGCGGAAGCTATGGAATAGTTTGAGGGTAGAAACTGTCTGTCGGGAGATGTGAGAAATATGGTGACTCCAGGAGAGGGTTTGATCAATAAATAGTCCTAAATTTTTTACAGAGGAGTAGAAGGAGATTGGCTGGTCACCAAGGTTTAGTATGGGAAAGTCGGTATAGGATCTAAGGAGAGGCTTGGAACCAATGACAATGGCCTGAGTTTTTGAAGCGTTTAACCTTAATCCGTTGAAGTTTGCCCAGGCACAGATTCGATCTAGGTCTGCTTGGATCTTAGTTAAAGCTACCAATAGCTCAGGAGGAGAAAAGGATAGATATATTTGAGAATCGTCTGCATAAAGGTGGTGGGAACAATGGAGAATTAATTCATGGAGGTCATTAATATAGGAACTAAAAAGGAGAGGAGATATGCTAGATCCTTGGGCAACTCCAGAGGATAAAGGCAGGTAGGCAGATAGTGGTTGATTAGGAATGGAGACTGCTTGGGTGCGTTGTGAGAGAAAAGATTGGAACCAAGAGATGGAGCTATTGGAGAAGGAAAGTGATTTTAGTTTGTTGAAAAGGATGGGATGGTTAATGGAATCGAAGGCTTTATAGAAGTCAAGAAGTATAAGGACAGTTAATTGTTTATTATCTATTGCAGTCTGAACATCATTGGTAATTTTGATTAAGGCGGATTGTGTGGAGTAGCCGGGACGGAAACCAGATTGGAGAGGATCAAGTTGGTTGGACTTTTCCAGGAAATTGGAAACTTGGGATTGCACCAATCTTTCTAGGGGTTTTGAGAGACTGGAAAGAATTGAGATTGGGGGAAAGTCTTCGGGAGAGGATGGATTAGGCTTTTTATTTAAAGGGAGTACAATGGTTTTTTTTCCAAGAGGAAGGGAATATTGAGTTCTGTAGGGAGAAATTGTAGATGAAAAGGAGAACTGGAAAGATTTCGGGGAGACATAATTTTATCAATTTGACAGGAATGCCATCTGGTCCTATGGAATTGGTGTGGGATTTCATTACTGCGGTTATTAAGTCCGTCGGGGAAATGTTGGAGAAATAAAAGTCATCATCATTAAATGATGACTCAGGAGCAAAGTTGGAAGAGGAGGGAAGAGAAGAGGTAGAGGAGGCAGAAATAAAATGTGAATTTAAATCGTCAGGTGAAACGGAAAAGACCAGTGAGGAAGGAGATCTGGAAGGTTCACAGAGGGAAAGTTTGTGAAGGATTAGCCATTGAGATTTGAGATCTGGGGCAGATGAAAGGGCTTCATGGAAGTAGGAAGCTTTAGCTCGCCGAATTCTTGTCTGTGTCGAATTGCGGAGCACCCTAAACGCTTGATAGTCATCTGTAAGCCTGGTACGTCTAAAGCGTCTACGGGCAGCATCACGCCTCTTCTGCAGATCCTTAATTTCTTGTATATATATATATATATATATATTATGTAACATAACTATGCTTGAAGTTGTTGAGGGCCAAATTTTCAAATTAAAAGGAAATACAATTGGTATAACTCTACCGTTTCTATCAGTCCAGAATATCTGGTTGAATCAGTCCTTTCATACAGTTGGAAATAAATTGTATATTTTGGGAGTCAGGGCAGTTGTCATTATTTTTAAACTTTATCATCTTCCTTAAATTATCATAATTGTGGGATAACTAATTCTAATTTTAACCATTTACTGCTATTTAATTTGTTATTTGAAGAAAGAGAAAGAAATTTAAATTAAATGACATAAGTAAAAGGTTTGTTTCTTGGCTGACTTAGTAAAGTTATATTTCAGTGCAGAAAATTTTAGTCATCAATAGTTGCAGCTGCCATCTTTCTGTAAACTTTTTATTAGCTGAAACTTTTTATTATTTAAATATTTATGGATAAAGGAGCAGGTGTGAAGTAATAGTATGTATAATTGATTATTATCACTTTTGAAGTGGTATAATTGTAGATTACTCCTGAACTATTACAATTCTTTCCTACTAGATTTATTTTATTATTATAGCATCGATACGATTTTTTTTTTTATGAGCTAACATTTTATGTATATGTATATATATGTTTCAGGTTTATTTGTTGACTAAAGAAGAAGGTGGCCGACCTAAACCACTTGTTCCTTTCATGCATTTACATATGTTTAGTAAAACTTGGGATTGTGCTGCTCAAGTTAATATTCCTGGAAAAGAAATGGTTATGCCAGGAGAAGATGCTAAGTGAGTATTATCATCACAGTCATGTTTTCTCTAAAAAAAAATTAACTTTTATACTGTACCAAAGGTCATCGGAGAGTGGTAGTGGTATCAAGAATGTTCGATATTGGTTAATGAACAAGTTTTTATTTATAATGCTGTTTAAAATATTGTCTTCAATTTGAAGTTATCAGTTGTATCAAAGGTATTAATAATTTAATCATGTTTTCCCTCTAAGAATACTTGATTTTATTTCAGGTTAGAACTAAAACTTCTGAGACCAATGGTCCTTGAAAAGGGTCAAAGATTCACCTTGAGAATGGGATCAACAACAGTTGGAACAGGTGTAGTTACAAATGTGCTACCACTCATGTCAGAGAAAGAGAGGCTTCTTCTTACGGAAGGAAAGAAAAAGAGGGAGAAGGCAATAGCTGCAGCAGGTGGCCAAGCGTAGTAGAAATATCGTTATATTGAATGACTTGTGAAGTATGGTAGTTATTTGTTTTGTTTTGTTAAACTAATTGATAAGTTACTATTATTAAATTATATTGATATGTCATAGCTTTAAAAAATCACACATGTAAGTAATCCGATTGTAAATGTTTAATTATTTTATATTTCTTCTTAAATAATAGTTAGTGTAGTTTTAAAAAATAAATAGAAAAACAAATTTTTTAAATAATTTATTTCTCCCCTTCATTATCCAGATATGTAGAAAAAAAAAACAAGAAGTGGAAAATGTTATGCATACATTAAATATTGTCCAACTAGTTCTGTGTAAATGTAAGATAACCAAAAACAATTGGCTGGCATCTTTACCTATTAAATAATAAATATAATTAAGACTTTTACATTTAAAAATTCTTATTTTAATCAATTTTGAATACTCAATAGTTGACTGTAGTATATTGACGAGAGATGGTTTGGTGGTCTTAAAAAATTGGAAACTTAGCTTGTATAGTTTTTTACTATACAACAACATAGTTTTTGGAGAGAAACCGCTGAAAGGAGCAGCATTACCTCTTATACCTTTGGGCAGCATCAAAATATTCTAAAGGAATCCATCCATAAACATAATGATATAGTTTTCATGAGAAATATCCATGCATTTACAACATTTCTTCATATAATTTATTATTATGTTTTTGATAAATACATTCAAATTAAATTACATGAAAGTTAATTAGTTTATAGATATATATGCTAAAGTTGTTAAATTTTAGTCCTGAACAGAATATATTGAATAGTTTTAAAATATCAAAATATTACCAATGTATTATATTTGTCATATTCCTAATCTATAAGTTTGGTCTTCCCAAAAACAATAATAGAAGATATTTGCCATAATAGGTATTGGCTCTAAAAATTGAAAATAAACAACAAAATCTCAATTAACTAATAAATACATTTTCACTCACGTATTTTTTTACAGTTAAATTTACCTATTATAAAAAGATAAATTTTAAAAACCACTGTTCACTCTAATTGTTAAAGCAAACAAAAAGATGTGTTTTTATAAATAACCTAAATTTTTTCTATTTATGAAGAAAAGTAGCTAAACTCAGTTCATAGATCGGATTAATATAAAAAATATTTTAATAAATAATTGTGAATCAGAAATGTAATAATAACTGTCAAAGCTAACCGTGGACGGCAAGGCCCTGTTAACAAATGAATGGGAAGAACTCGGGTTATCGTTACCGTTTAGTGACTGAATTGTCATTCCAATTCATTCATTCATCGAACCTGCTGTCCACATTAACTTTGAAATTTATTTATTTATTTCTGATTTACACCTTTTATCAAGTTGTTCATGTTTTAATAATTCTAATATTAAAATATTTATTATAATTAATTAATTGTAGTTAAAAATGGATCACTTTAAAGCCCCAAAACAAAACTTGATCAAATCATATTCCATAAAATTAATATTTTAAACAGTTTTTTGACACACACAAATACCTTCCTACAAAATTTAAAGTTTTTAGGACTGAGAGGAGCAATGAGATAGAATGAAAAAAAAAGACGTAGTGAAGAACCTTCACTAAAAGGACCCTTCATCTGTGAACGACATCTCTACTTACTAGCTTTGTTTATAATATTGTAAAATATTGATTTGGAAAAGTATTTTAGAAAACTATTTTATAGTAACTCCTTTAATACTTGGACATCATTATACATGAAATTAAAAAAAAAATATTGAAATTTAAATCAACGACTAATTAATCAATTTCATTTATTGGACTGTTTAGGGTTTTAAATTTTTATTTATTACTCCATAAAATTTCCTTTCTTTTGATGTCTTCACGCATAAAATCAATTGCCCCAGATAGCTTAATCTTGGCTACTGTATTAAATATATCTGCTATGTAAATATTGATTCATTGCAAAAAAGTTATTAAAAACCTTTTCGTTTATTTTGGCCTTATTTTTCAATGTAAAAAAAAATAAGTTCATAAAAATTACATGAACTCAATTATATATCAAAAACATACACAAGGCACAATGTTAAGTTTTCACAGAATGAAAATTCATCAAAATACTTAATGATTCAATTTTATGAAATGTTACTTAATTACTTTTAGTAATATATGTAAAATGCATTTGTTCATCTTTCAATGCAATAAGCTGCTTTTGGGAATTTTTGAATTATTCAAAAAACGAGTTAAAAAGGTTACCATGACAGGGTATCTACCATTTAGGAAATTTCGGTTAAATATGGAATATTTTAGAAATTCCAAGGAATTAAATTTTTTTAATAAACCTATGATTATATTTATTTCTTTTCTATCTGCTGCACCATTATAACTATACAACCCATCTTGGGTTTAATACTTTGTAAGAAAGTAACTGTTTCTTGGCCAATAGTTGTACAAGGTGATTTGACAAAAATCACACTCAACCACCAGGTTTTTCCACTTAATAAATTATTCAATTCAGAGTATCATCATAGTATCCACTTTATAGAGGCAGTGTGTCCCAGGATCATTCCTGGGAGGATAAAACAGAACAAATAATTACCTACCACAGCCAGTTGAACTGGGACCTGGCTCATGAGAACACAGTGCACGGCTCTGAAACGTATAGATACGTCGAAAACCGCATTTCGGAAATTTGGCCCGATTGCAATACTTTCCTTACCTAGTATAGGTAGGAAAGCAATAAGTTAAAAAAATGAGTAAAAAATAGAATAAGCTGTATCATCGCTGATACTGGTTCGATTCCGATGATTTTTTTGTTTGTTCATGGAGCTCCATATGTATACACCTGTTTGGGTATATAGACCAATGCTTTTGCAGTTAAATTTAAAGATTGTTGATTAAACGGTGGTTTTTAGTTGACAACGATAAAATAATTAGTTATTTGGTTCCTTTTATGAAGCTTTTAGGTCTCCTCGATTTAAAATGGTTTTGGTGTAACTTTTTACATGGTTTAGTCTTAATGATTATTTAATACCAGGACACAGAATGATGATCCTTGTTCCAAATTCAAAACAATATAATATACTGTAAATAAGTTATTTATTGCTGAAGGATATTGTGAATTAATTAGGAAAAAAATTAAAATGTTCACTGAGTGGTTTAGTGAGTCAAAAAAACTGGCATACCTTGAATTTTATGTAAAACATGCAGATTACAGAAATATTTTTGAACTTGAAGTAATAACAAGTATATGACAGATCAAAGGGGATTACCATGCATTAATCCTTTGGAGATAATTTCATAATTCTCTCTAGGATTAATAATAAAAGTATTAAAAGGTAAGGACTTCATATTAGTTTGTCTCCAGATGCTTGTTCAATTGCATTGGTTTTGCTTTCGTGTTTTATTTTTTTTCTTGAAAAACAATATTTCATTGATATTAAACCTTTTTAAGAGTTTATACTGGTTCGATTCCGATGATTTTTTTTTTTTTGTTTTGTTTGTAATTTAATTACCTTTCAAAAGTTTTATTATAAATTTTACCGTATAATATATACTTAAGGAGTTAGGCCCCATAACATTTTTCTTTTCTTTATAACTTTTTTTCCGGTAATTTGGTATATATATGAAAATTGAGAGAACAATAATTAGAACATTATAGGAAAGTTTAATCAAAATCGTTAGAGCCGTTTTTGCGCTATAGTCTATAGAAAAACATGTTTTTCATTTATTGCGCATGGAGTACCAAATATCTGTCACAGGCATCAGTAGTCAAAACCCTACAAAACAAAAAAAGGCCCAACAAAATCGGTTCAGTAGTTCCCGAGAAAATCTTGGCACAGACAGACAGACAGACAGACCAATGGCTAAAAATGTGTTTTTCGGATTCAGGGGGCTCTGAAACGTATAGATAAGTCGAAAACCGCATTTCGGAAATTTGACCCGATTGCAATACTTTCCTTACCTAGTATAGGTAGGAAAGTAATAAGTTAAAAAAATGTGTAAAAAATAGAATAAGCTGTATCATCGCTAATACTGGTTCGATTCCGATGATTTTTTTTTTTATTCTTTTGGTAATTTAATTACCTTTCAAAAGTTTTATTATAAGTTTTACCATATAATATATACTTAGGGAGTTAGGCCCCATAACGTTTTTCTTTTCTTTATAGCTTTTTTTCCGGTAATTTAGTCTATATACGAAAATTGAGAGAACAATAATTAGAACATAATAGGAAAGTCAAAACCCTACAAAAAAAAAAAAAAAAAAAAAATCGGTTCAGTAGTTCCCGAGAAAATCTTGGCACAGACAGACAGACAGACCAATGGCTAAAAATGTGTTTTTCGGACTCAGGGGGCTCTGAAACGTATAGATCCGTCGAAAACTGCATTTCGGAAATTTGACCCGATTGCAATACTTTCCTTACCTAGTATAGGTAGGAAAGTAAAAAGTATTTTTTCAATTATGGTGAATGTTCTTTTCTAGTAGCATATTATTTTCAATTGTGAAGTAATTTCGAGCCCAACACTGCTTTGAATATACCCTTAAGTTCTCCTAATTGAAGTCTATGGTTGTTACTCTGTTCTATAGATCGTAGCATGATGGTATAAAGCCTAAAGAATTCCTAAATAAATGGTGGACTATCTTATATAAAATGAACTTACTTTTGATACGAAAAAGGCTAACTCTTGTTGAATAGGAAATTAATTAAAAAAGAAAGATGTTTCTAATATAATTTATTTTACTATACTTGTGGATATACAATAGTTTTTGTTTTCATTCTTTGTTTAGATTTATAGATTGTATGGTTTTCCAACTGTACAACACGCAACATATAATTGTTCATGTGGGAAGCAGTTCATCTCATAAATAATCTAAATAAATAAAAAGTCTTAAATGTTTAAAACATTATATCTACACCAAATCGTCCGATTTTCAGTGATATAGTTTTGAATCCATCATAACTTTTTTTTTATATTCTTTTCGGGGAAGCATGTTATATACATAACTTTAAAGGGCTTCAAGAAGACTAGCCAAGTTAAAATTATTACAGCCATTTAGGTGCTACAGTCTACAGAATACGTTTTTCGATTGCCTTTCGAAGACAAAAGGCCAGAAGATAATTAAATGTTTATAAAAATACTCATGAATCCGATAGAAATGTTATGTCAATATTTCAAAGCAATCAGTGAACAAGTTTCGGAGATTAGCGGTTTTGATCATGAACATTTACGTTTTTATTAATATAGATTATAGATTTTACAGGTCTATAAAAATATTTTTTTATTAAAATGTTTTTGTTTTCTATCACTGACACAACCTACAGTTTTGTTCCCAGCATTTATTAACTACGCTCAGTCAGACAATATCGGTTTTACGTCCAATCTGAATTCTGATTTTAAATCTGATGATAATAAATATTATATGACTAATAAAAATAATTATATGACTAAATTAGTACCCATTTAAAAGTAAGGTAAAAGTATGTAATAATAAAATACAAATTTGTAAGATAATCATGGACCAAATAAGATTATTCATCACTTGGTCTTAGGACACACCTATATGAAATTTCCAACTATTATACCAGATAAATTGAAAAGATTACTTAATTGTAGTCGTGTACTTTTATAGTGATTCATCAATGGAATGATATTATAGCACAAATTTTAACTGGTTCTCAAGTATAACTAAAATGCATATGTTATTAATCAGTTGTACAAGTAAATAATCTTTTCATTAGTTCAACTACTTAACTTAGCAGACCATAATTAACTTCATGTTAAATTACAAGGGCAATAGAAGGATTTATTTTTGTTTCAATAAAATAAATTTGCATGGTTTATTTAATAAATAAAAACAGATATACAATGTTGCATAGATTGTTAAATAGCATACTAAAGCAACATCAAGGATGGAAGAAAATAACTTAAAACTGATAACAGATAAATAAATAAATTGACGATAGAATTTATTTTTCTGAGCCTGAATCACTTTCAGCCTCCTCATCCTCAAGATCGGGCATCGGAAATCTGAGGATTGCAGCAACACCAGTTAATTGCATCAGTTCTGAAACAAACACGTTTATAATTAACAAACATTTATAAAAAATCATTATTAAAATGAGGCCTGCAGTAAGTGTTTCAAAGTTAAACCTCCAATACCAAGAATTACATGACTGATTTAGATACAAACATAATAAAATACAATAATACACTTAAATATGCTTCTTATTGAAATTTTAAGTCAGGTATGTTAATCTTAATTTAATAATGAATCAATACATGTTTTATTTGAAATTAAAATTTGATTGATTTAAAATAAAATACTCACCAAATATTCATGAATGACATATAAATTAAAAGAAAAAAAAAACAGCAATTTCGTCATAACCTTTTTATTTATAAACATTTTTCATCAAATTTTGATCATCTTCAAAGTAATTCACATTGACTGTAATACACTTGTCCAATCTTGTCTACCATTGCTCAGAATTTTTTTAAAATTCACTTATCAAGATGTCCTTTAACCTTGCTAGCAATTTTTGTTTTACCTCCTCCACAATCTCAAAATTCCTGTCCTTTTTGAGTCAAGAGAACAGAAAGAAGTTATAGGGATTAGGAATGGTGAATAAGGAGAATGAACAGATGAAGACTGTTTTTGGCAAAAAACTGCTTTACATACAGGATGGTGTAGGTATCCCATCTGCAAATTGCTAGGATAAAATATTCTGAACTGTACTCTAGCACATTCCAGACATTTCAGAGATTTGATAAATGGTTCAGTGACAGTCTTCACGAACAAGGGCATTGATATTTTCATACAATAAATCCAGAAATCTATCACAACTATTACTGCATGCATAATTTCAATAATACATACAAAAATGAAAACATTGATGAAATATTTATTTAAATTATTGTTTAATCTATAATTGACTTTTTTTTTTTTTGTTCTTCCCTACCTCCGCCTTTTAGGCTGTACGGGATTTTCCTGGCCCGGAGGGTGAGGGCGGAAATTTAAAATCTCCTCCGGCACCGGGATGCGAACTCATACTTTTTTAATCTTCTCAAATCTCTTATCCGGTTGCCAGACACACATTGCTCCTCCCCTAGGAGTGACTACTTTTATTATGTTTACCTCATAACAAGTCCAGACAAAGTAAGTCAAAAAATGCTTCCATTTATATATTATTCACTGACTGGACTTTTTTTTTCTTTTTATGACTCTTCTTCACTTTCAGCTTTTGCCATAAGTCTTCTACCCTGGACTAAACTGGTTAGTAAGTTCTAGTATTTTCTTAATTGGATTAATGCATATGATCGGAGGATAGGTCAAAGTTATGTTTATATGTTACCTTTTGTCAGTAGCATTTCTCGAAAATGATTTCTTTGGATCAAACTTTCAATTCAATTGTACATTTCATTCCAATTTAACAATAAGTATAGTTTTTAGATTACAAGCTTCTTTTGCTTGATATGATTATTTTTTTCAACAAGGCATATGATAATATGACCTGCCTTTAAGTAGAAGGAAGGTTTTTTCTAGATTTCTTTGAATTACGATATAGAAAAGTAAACCATGAGATCAACCTTCTACTTAATATTTTATTATACAATTGTTGACATTAATGGAAAAATGAAATTAAGGTATTAAAAACTGAAAATACCCACTGACTGTTTTAAAGTATTCCTTATTTGTTTCTTCATGTTAAAAACATTAGCATTGTTCTTGAACTGTTAAAAAAATTAATGGTACACATTAAACAAAGTAATCACCAATTTTACGACTTTGGTGATAAAAAAATTAATAAATTTGGGATTAAAAAAACAACAGCTCAATTTAACTTAATTAAAATCTAATTCTCTTACGTTCTCCTGATACATGCATGCTAGAGAAGATCTTCACGTCACCTCCGAATTCTCTAACACTGTCCACCAAAGTAACATATCTTTTCCTCTGTTGAACATCATTGCACCTAAAATTTCAGCGATAGTAGAAAAATAGGAAATTATTAATTTTTTAAATTAAAACTTTAATCTTCTTAGCATAGATGATTAAAATAATGGAAAATAAAAAACAAATATTAATTTTTTTTAAAAAACATGTATAACATAATTTATAATTTACCTGAAAAGGTTGTCAGAGACCAGAAGAGTTTCAATAGCTTGTGCTTCACAAGCTAGTTCGACATGCTTGGCTCCATAAAAAGCTTTGGAAGGTTCTGTTTGTAAAGTTGAATAAAATGTTTCCAATGCCTTGACTTCTCCTAACGCTTTGGTATCGGCCATTTTTGCCATAACTGATGGCTCAACTAAGATCTCTTAAAACAAAATGAAGTAGTAAAATTAATAAATAATAATAACATGTTGATTAAATAAAAACTTAACATTTATATATTAATTATTTATTGCAAGTTTTAATAATATTGTACATCGAAATATAATAGTCAAGTCTGATGTTATAATTTCATAGGTCAGTTTCAGAACAAGGGAGGGGCAAAGATAATACTTATTTAGAAGACAGAATTTAGCAGACGATAAATTTTTACATTTTATTTTTATGTGAAATAAAAAAATATTTCTTTCTTTTGATTGTTACATTATATTTGCAACTTTCTTTTGATTGTTTTGACCTTAGTTCTGTCAATAAAATGAGTTGATGTACTGAGATGATGATATAAATTTTGAAATATATAGGGTGGATCCATGAAGGGGGAAATCAAAAAAGTTTTTTCATATAAAGAATAAATTTTACTCAATAATTTATTTGTTGTTTTTATATCTTGCCATCAGTCTAACAATTTCATTATTCTGATCTAGTAAAACATCAGGGGCTTAGAAGCAGAAAACTAATTGAGATACATTTCCACATCTCCCTCATTAGCTAACGATTCCTCGTCGAGAGAGTATTGGAGAGACCGGAATAAGTGGTAGTCGGATGGTGCAAGGTCTGGAGAATACGATGGGTATAATAAAACATTCCAGTCAAGTAGCACTAACTTTTGCTGGGTGATTATTGTGAAGGGTGGTATGGCATTGTCATGGTGGAATACAACACCTTTCTGACTGACTAGTTTAGGATGTTTCTATCACAATGGTTGGTCCAATTTCATTAGCTGGGTGTGGTAGATCTTCAATTCAATCGTTTTTCCTTGTGGAAGAAGCTCGTAAAACAGCGTGTCGTGATAATCCTACCGTATGGAGAGGAAAATCTTTTTTGGATTAAGGCCGGCCTTCTGGAGTGGCATTAGGCAGCTCGTCAGCAGTTATTCACGATCTCCTTCGGACTACATTGTCTTAGATTATCCCCTTTTCGCCACCCGTCATAATTCGTTTGAGAAATGGGTCCCTTTCGTGCTGGTTCAGAAGAGAGTTTCAGATTGTATTCGGCCAAGCTGTTTTAAATGTCTCTGATAAGTGACCAGTTACAAAACTTATTTTCAATGTCTCAGCTATTTATCATACTGTGGCGACCGGTCTTGTTCAATTAGAACTTTGATATCTCTCGAAATAACCTCAGATAGACTCATATCTCCAAAACGAAACTTGGCAAACTATTTTTGTACAGTAAGTTCTGTTAAGACATTTTTGTATACCTTTCGGTGGGCCTCCGAAGTTTGCTTGCTTTTTTAAAAATAAAAATTATGGTGCACAATAGGCCTGACTAGTATGTGGTGCACGTGTCACAAAAAAAAAAAAAATATAACATTATATATATACATCCATCATAGAATTAATAAACGTTTAGGTTGAGTTATGAAAAAAATGTTTAAGCTGAATTATGAAAAATCTGGTGTGCGCAATACACAACTTTCACTTACCGCTATACTTTGAATAGATTATTTTCTGGCAGTGTTGGGCTATTATAAAATGTTTGAAGTGCATTTTAAATGGAGCTAAAGCTTAAAGCTTACAGATAACAAATCATCTAGACCATTAAAATTACAAAAAGTCTATTTATCATATCGACGGTAGGCAATAAAACTCTAGTAAGTCCATCTGCTAAACCGCACAACTTTACTCTTCGAATCTTTCAGTTGACAGAATGACAAACTACATATCAGGTTTCTAATTAGGAATAGATTACTATACACTTTGAGGGACATACAATTCTTTGGTGATAGAATATCAGGAGACATTTTTCAGAGAAGCTGGTTCAAAATTGTGTAAATAAACATGCATTGTCTGATCGAAGAATGAAGTAAATGTGAATTTTATGATAAACTACTGCGAAATTGCATGAACATATTTGTAGGATATGCAAACGGAAAGGTGGGGAAGAGAAGAAGTTTATTGTGCGATATCAGTAAGAAAAGTTTGCACGAGTATGGTAATGATATTGGAATCTGGCTAATAAATTCCCATCTTAAAAACCTGATAATTAAAATTACTTGGATTTATAAATACATTGGATATCACTGAATTCGTAAACACAAAATCAAATCGATGATGTCTTGAGACAACATAGGTGGCAAAATAGTATAATTAATGTATGGTCTTATCGCACGACAGAATGTGGGTCGGATTATGAATTAGTAATCGCGAAACTTCGACATAAACTTAATAAATAGAAAAAGAAATAGTTTCATCTCCAAAAATTTTAAACTGGAAAAATTAAAAATCCATCAATTAGAAATCAATTTGAGATTGAAGTAAGGAATATATTTAAAGCTTTAGAATCTTCTGATGAAGATCATGATGATAAGGACAAGTTATGGGTAGAGATTAGAGATAATATTAAAGAGGCAAGTAATTAGTGTCTTAAGAAAAATTAAAATAAAAAGAATTCTCACAACTAATGGCCTGGGAGCAGGCATTTATCAAAAGGAAGATAAGAACAGGCTCTTAATCCCCCTTGATAAACATGACTCAGTATTTCAATCAGAACTACTGGCAATTTTCCATTGTGCTCAAAACCTATCGCATGAACAAGTGATTGGCAAAAAGATTATAATCTATACCAATAGTCACGTTGGAATAGATGCTTTAAATAGTCACTATACTTTTTCGTACTGCAGTGCAGTACTCAACAACCTTGCTGAGCATAACAAGTAAGTTAAATTATCATATGTTCAATCTAAGACTGACAAGGGATCTACAATGTAGATTCTGTCACGGTTAGAATGAAACAGCCTTTCATATCGTGTGTAAGTGTGATAGGTTTGCAAGGCTCAGGCTCGAGCTGTTTGGTGAGGACCTAGTGAATGATCCCAAGAGCTAAGAGTCAATTAACCCTATGAGTGAGCCTACTTAAATACACAGATGCTACAAAATTACCATTTTAATAGAAAACAGCACTTACATGGTGCACAATAGATCCTTGTGGTTGCGATGCATTCATACCAAAAGGAAAAAAAGAAAAACCGCTAAATTAAAAGCTCTAAATAATTCTTGTTAAGAGAATCTTGAATAAATCCAAGCCTTAAAGAATGAAACGACTAAATTGATCAAATAACGACGTAAAACACAACTTTAATTAAATATATAACTTTTATATTGACAAAAATTAAAAAAGGTATCATAACTACTTTTATTTTTTTGAGAAATAAAATAATGAAGTTAGCTTTCCGCACACTGTATTATGTCTCACCAAGTATAGAGCCAAATGGTAAGTGGCTAAAATGGGATGGGGATTTTCAAGTCTGTATCTACAAATGCAGGAGGTGTGTCGATGTCCTTTATACATTATTATCTCAAAAAGGGAACAAAATGTTGAAACATGTTCTATACCATAACTCAACGTGCCAAATGCTCCAAGGATTTATAAAAAGATTTAAACTTTAATCTACGGTATGCTTTAATAAAATTATGGAATTGTCACTTGTACCTCTAGGCTTCTCATCACCTCACCTGACATATGATGAAACAAATTTTAGATTATCATTCTTAGTACAATAATGAAAATTTTAAATAAATCAAAGTTTATCATAAATATTTTACAGAAAAAACAAAAATATAAAATTAGAGGTTGAATCAATAAACTAATCTAGAATAACAATGGAAAGTAATAAACCTTTAAGTAATACAAATTTATCTGAAATTAACTAAAACTCCAAGAAAATGATTAATGCTTTAACATCAATTATGTTATAGTAATAAACTAAGGTTTATTACTATGGTTGACAACTATTAATGAAATTTTAGAACACCAACCTTTCAAGGAATGTTTAAAACCAGATGAAGAATGGACAAGAAGAAACTTAGATTTATTTTCAATTAGTAGTTTAATATCATTTTTGACAGCTTCTTGAAACATATACTCAAAAAACTGATCTCGAACAAATCCTGGACTGGCTATGAGCACACATTTAACAATATCAAAGTTAACATGTCGAAGAATTGCTTGCATCAGACTGTCATAAAATCTTGCTAATCCCTAAAAATAAATATAAATTCAAACAAATTGAAATTTCAAAAAAATCTAAGTGTTCACTTTTATTATTTGTTTGTCTACTTACAAAGAGAGTTAGCTCTGCTCTACATGAATATAAACACATAAAAAAATACATAGATATTTTAAAAAATTAAAGTTAATATCATTGTAAACAAACTATTATTTTCTATGTACACACATACATATACACATAAAACTCTTCATGGAATATTAAAATATTAATCCACAAATTGTCCAGAAGAACATTAACGCAATAACATTTCATATAGAAATGTTGACATAACACATCTATTCATCAATCTAGAATAAAAGGGGTACAGCTCAGAAACTGTTCAAAGTCGAAACTTTCTTTAAAATAATAATATAACACAATGGGTGAACTGGCTAATGATCATTAGACCAAAAAAACAATAATTATTATTATAATAATTATCCATCATTTTCACGGACTAAGTCAAAAACACTGCACGGAAGATTTTTTCACCAGGTCCAACAAACTGAAATAGATAAAACATTGTCTACGAGTTGGTTGGTTAAAGGAAATCTGTTTCCCGAGACAGAGTGCTTTCTGATAGCAATCCAAGATCAGGTCATAGCAACGAGGTCTTACTTTCGATATGCCATGAAGCAACAGACAGTATCAGACAGCGTAGGCTCTGTGCTAGCACATTCGAGTCTATTCAGCACATGACTGGAGGGTACAGAGCACTGGCTGATACAGAATGGTGCCTCATGAGACATGACGATGTTCTAAAAATTTATCATCAGGCAATTGGTATAAAAATAAAGTTAGTGAATGATTTAATACCTTATTATAAGTACAACCATAAAGAACTTATCCAGAAGGAAGGGATGAAATTGTACTGGAATCAATCTTTTATAACAGACCATAACAGACTTGGTATCGTGTTGATCGATAGTAATATGAAGAAAGTTGAGATAATATCGATGTGCCAAATGATGGAAACACCAACTCAGTCTGCGCCGAACAAATTCGGAAATATCAAACTCTTGAAGCGGAGTTAAAATATTTCTACAGACTGAACAAAATGACAATAAAGGCTTTAGTGATCTCTAGCAATGGGTTGATTCCAAAATTAACTATAGAAGCTACCGAGAAGTTGTGCCTCTCAACAGCCACAATAAATGAAGCCCAGAAAGCTGTGCTGCTGAACAATGCGAGAATCGCAAGGAGCTTCCTAAATATTCAATAGAACTACAAAAATTGATGTGAAGTGGTTGAAGATAATTCTTCCCCACTCCCAGAAAATACCTTTTTTTAAAGTGTTAAAAAATAAAGAATAATAATAAAAACTTTCTGAACTTACCTTTTCATGCTGTTTGACATTTCCTTTCCTTTTTCGAGGAATTACTTGATCTATTTTAGCCCTAACCAATGTCATACTAGCAGTTATAAGACAAACATGGGCAAGCCCTTCCTGCATAATTACAGCAGCAACATCAGCATTCTAAGGAATATAAATATTCAAAATGAAAATCTAATCCAACCTAAAATTATGAAAAGTATTTAAAAAAAAAAAAAAGAGAGAGAAAAGACTATGACTCAACAAATATTAAAAGAGATAAGGCCAATGAAATTGGTACGAAATACATGATGGAGGAAAATTTATTTAAAAAAATGAACTTCATTTATTCTTTCGAACACAAGAAAACACAGGTTTTCTTCCGGACCCACTTTTTGTTCAGTTCCAATAGATCTGGATGCATTGCAACCTCCAGCAACTATAGTCTGCTTGAAGAATCCATGCAATTCATAAAACTGGTCACATAATAATTTTTATATTTCTCATTACAAAGTGTTGTTCTTTTCTTAAAATAGCTGCTGTTGGGAACGTTTTCATGAAGGAAGGTACTAATTATTTGGTCTCCGATTTGATCGGAATTTGAAATTATTCTTAGTTTTTTTTTTTTTAGAAAACTCATTTCCAACCTGCAGGGCCATTTATAACCTTTCTCAAATTCTGAAAACGTCATTAAAAATTAGTGTTCATGGACTATGGTTATTGACCATATCACTTAATCAAATTATTAAGTTGAGGTACTCGCTCGACACACAATTTGATTTTCTTTAATTTCTTAAAGAATAAGATGCACTGTTTAGTAGAAATACATACAAAAAAAAAATCAGATAAATCAAACAAGAGACCTCAACTGTATGCAGCCCTGTGTGACCTTGGAGTTCCCCCGAAACTTGTGCCCTCATCAAGATGACTATGGATGATGCTAGGTGCACTGTTCCGGTCCAACCGGACCTGACATCTGAATTTGTTTCCACGCGAGGAATTAGGCAGGGGGATGGGCTTGCCTGCCTATTGTTTAACCTGACTCTGTAGAAGGTGATACGTGACTCGGAGATCCAGACTACTGACACCATCTTTAACAGATTAACGCAAATCCTGGGATTTGCTGACGATCTAGATCTGATGGCATGTTCCTTTGAGTCTCTTAAAAGTGCATTTTTAAGGTTAGCTGAAGCGGCAAAACCTTTGGGAATGAGTGTAAATTAGGAAAAGACGATGTATATGGGAGCAGGACCTGAAACCGAGACTGCAGTAAGAGTATTGGTGGTTATGGGTCCATTTATGTTCCACAATGTAGATCAGTTTACCTATCTGGGAGCTATTGCAAGCTGTGAAAATAGAATTATCCCTGGAGGTCAACCAGTGATTAACAAGGGCAAACAGGTGCTATTTTAGCCTCAGCAAACACCTTAGAAGATCTGCCATCTCCCGTCATACAAAATGCCTTATATATAAGACCTTCATTAGGCCTGTTCTCACATAAGGATTGGAAAGCTGGACCCTCTCCAGCACAGAAGAAAAAGATTTACTAATCTTTGAAAGGAAGATCCTTTGGTGTATCTTTGGACCTGTTAAGGTCGGTGATGATTGGAGAAGGAGGACTAACAGGAACCTATATAATCTGCATGGGGAGACAGATGTATTGAGGTGCATCAAGCTTGGGCGACTACATTGGGCTGGCCATGTGGCCAGAATGTCCCAAGGAAGTTGCTTGATAGGAAGCTCTGCAGGACAAGAGGGAAGGGCAGACCAGATGGGAGGACGCCGTCAACCGGAACGCCAGAGAAGTATTGCATACCCGCAACTGACGAGCGACTGCACAAGATAGAGCCATCTGGAGAGGGCTCATTGAGGCGGCCAAGGACCACAACGGTTTGTAGCGCCATGGAGTTAGTTAGTCAGTTTGAGCGGCTAAACTCAGTTAAGGAGTGGAGGGAGATAGGTAGTGGTGAGGGAACGGGTGGGGGTGGGGTGTTTATTTTATTTTGAAAGAATTTAGTTGTTGTTAGTAGTAAGTATAAATATGGCATACAAATGTTGCAACAAAACAATAATAGCTGCCAATAATTTCACTCCGGGATAGATAACAAAACCCTTAAATGAATGACTTAACTAACGGCTATAGGGTAGTTGAAAGTTTATTTTACTTTTGATAAGAACAATCAAAATACCTGCTAACAATAACTTTTAACCTAAAAAGGCTTAGCCATTATTATCAGTTTAATAATAGGAGCATACAATTTTAAGATTCCTTATAAATAAAACATGGCTAGTTTCATTAATGTGTTACGAGTCTAAAATTCATATATAATAGATTTATCAACTTTTTTACTTCATTTACCCACATATATAATATTAACGGTAAGTATTACAAAGTTAAAAATATTCAAACCCAAGTTTTCAATGGAAATAGATGTTTTAAGATCTCTTGACTTCAAATAACCAGATTTGCAAAAATATGTGTGAGTACCTGCATAGTTAAAAAACAATAAGGCATATGGCACTGAAATTATGTATATAAGTTAATGGCTAAGATTTTACGACAACTGTTTTGCAAAAATTGACAAACCAAAAATGGCAATGTTCTATCATAGATTTTATATCTTTATACAATTTTCTTAAAAACTGCTCAAACGATTTTGATTAAACTCATCATAAAATTAAATGGCCTTTAATATCAGTTGTCTTATCCTAATTGAAATAGTTAAGCAGAGATTAAATGCCGAATTTCCAATATTTCTTCCTTGCGAATATCTTTAATTTCATTTATTAAAAATAATGAAAGGTCTCTGATTTTTAGTATAAATACAAAATGAATCAATATGCACTATGAAAGATTTTGAAAACTAAATAAAGAAGAAAATAGAAAAATATGTTGGCAGCTTGAAAACATATTTCTAAAAAAAGAATAGTAAATTACTGCTCAACACAAAAATACTGTAATATGTAATTGATATCACCTCTGACCGATAGATACAGAGAAAATATATATTACAAAATAAGTAATTAATTCAAGCCTCTTAAAATTAAATTAAAAGCTGATGAATAGACAGAAATTTGGAAAATATATAGAAAAAACTTATGCTATTAATTAAGATTAATCAGGATTGTTAATTAAAATTTTGATAAATCAGTGACAATCATTTCAACGACTCAGTATATGTTGTTATTTATAAGAAGTTATTCAATAAATCAAAGAAATATGAGAACTAAAAAACTAATTACCTGAGTTGGGTCACAAGCAGTGTCCACCCTATCTAATGCTATTGAATCCCATTCTGATTTGATTAAAGTAAATTTACGATTTACTTCGAGATCTAATGTATGATAAGCACCCATCTAAAATAAAACATACAATAAGTTAACTATAAAATTAATATAAGATAAAATTTCAAATTTAAAGAGCTGAAAACCTTGACATATTGATTTTCTTCAATATTCCTTCCTTTTAACCTAAGGACACATGCCTGTGTGTCAAAGTCTATGTTTTCAACTCTAATTGTCAAGGTGGTTCGAATTCTGCTACTTGTTGATGACCCGGTAGATGATTCATTTTGAACTTTCCTGAACAATATTTATACATTAAATAACAGATCTATAATACCTATTTCCATCGATGAAAAAAACACTCCAGTACATGATATAGTAAATAGTACCTTATTGTTGAGGCTCTTACACTATCTCCTTCACTGATTAGATTATAGGCATGCCACATGTCCTCAGATTCCTCAGGGACAAGGGTGACACTCCTGGAAAATATGTTCAGACAAATTTAAGACAATAACACATTTTTATAGTTTAAAATTGTTAATTTAAAATATATATGTGAAGTTGCTTATCAAAACAATGAAGACAATGTATTGTTTAATGTTAATTCCTTACCCTTCGCCATCCTTATCAACGTTTTTGTGAACTAGTTTCATCGCAACTTCACTAACTCGTTATCTAGGCATATGAAACTCTGAAAAGACCTTTCACAATGATTAAAACTCATTTTCATAAAAAAAACAACCTCAAGAGACCACAGGTTGCAGACTAAGCACAATTTGTAACCTTGCCACTTTGTTGCCAATGCTGCCAAGAAGACCAAAGAATGTCTCATTACGTAGAGTAGTGCCCAGCATCGGGATTGCAAAAGGACCAATGATATTCTTTAACCAGTAATACTCCTTCATCCCATTGGTCCATCCATTGCATTCTAGCGCTTTGAATTTGACTTGCTAGAAATAAGTTAACCTTTGTAAAATACAACAAGTTGTTTAAAAGATAAACCATTCCAATTATTATCTTTAATTACTTTGTGTTTATCACTTAATTATACAAAAAATACTGGTTCAGTTGTTAGTTTGATGTATTTACTTAACGAAGATAGGGATTATGTTTTGTTATCAGAAATAAGAAGTGTTATCAAAAACAGCTGTTCAATTCAAGTTTAGTAGTCCACAGTTCCCCTCCGTGTTCGGTTCGTCGTCGGGTTTTGTTTATTTTATTGTTCAGCTGTTTTTTTTTTGTTTTGTTCGTTTTCACTGAGTTTTTATATTAATTTTGCAAGAGGTAAATTTTATATTTTAAAAGTAATGATAAACATTGTCAAGTTTTTAAATTAAAGTACTAAACCCTTTTGTTTACAATAGTACAATATAATATATTAGTTCATTGTTTGATTATTTAATTTTATTGAGTTGAATTCCTATTGACTCCTGTAATTAAGTGTAGATTGTTTCTTCTATAAATCGTCGTAATTAGGTTTTAGTATAGAATCATCATCCTTAAATCCTTTTTTAAAAGTTGAAATGTTTTATTTTCCTCATATTTCATTAACGAAATTATTATTTTTTTCCTTTTTAATGTTTTCTATTTACTGTTAGTGTTCTTCTTCAGACTTGTTTGTAAGCTGTTGTCAAAGTTAGCTCAATAAAGTACTATGGATAGAAAGTTTTAAAAGTGGTATTTATTTACAAGATTTCATTAGTTCTAAAAAAAAAGTAGTGAATGTTTTATTAACATTTTTTAAATTATTATTTAGGACTCCTGTTATATAAATATTTGTATGAGTAATTCCATGACCTTGTTTCTTATTTTGAATTTTCTATCCATTGTATTCTGAATTAATTAATTTAGATAGATATTTATGTATTGTTTTAGGGCAAGAATTTTCATTAATTTTCGTCCAATGAAATAACCAATTAATTATTTTGAGTGTTAAATATAAATATTGTTTGTTGGTATTTGCTTAACTGTTCAATTTAATAGTTATTGATATCTCATGATCTGAAGTTTAATAAATAATTTTAATGCATATAAAATAAATAAATTTAAAAAAAATATTCCAAAATACCATGGTGTTAAATTTATTGAATCATAACTATGTTATGGGTGATTCAGTTAAAGAAACTTCATTTTCAGGGCAAGAATTTCAAGCTAGTTAACCATCTTCCGAAATTCCCAAATTTTTCATGCAGCTAAAATATGAGTGTACTACATAAATTAGAGTTCAAATCTCTTTTGGGAGGGCCAAATTCTTATTTACTCATTTGGTAGTGTGGAGGTAATGAGGAATGTTTTGTGCCGTTTGCTGATGAGTATAATAATAGGAATAAATAAATGAATAACCAAAAAAACAAAACAAATAGAAACAAAGTTATTATCAAATTTATTTATAGTAGTTACATATTTTGGAATATAGCTATTAAAAAATGTTGTTGGTTTATTTCAAAAAGTGACTAAGTGCATTTTTGATATAGGCTACCTTTCAAATATGTTTTTGTGGATTTCGACTTAATTTATTGAAACAAAACACTAAGTACATGAAAATGAAGCAAACCCTTTTATATATCAAATGTAGTTACACCAACCACACAATTTCCTTATTTCATGCAGGAGAAATTCTTCAAAGTTCTTAATTACTTAAGGTTATTCAAATCACTTAATGATTTTTTGCAATAAACCAAAGATATAACCCAAAAGTTAATTATTAGCTGTCAAAAGTAAATATTCAACAAACAAACAAATTTTTGGCTGTTTCTGGGAGAAAAGAAAACTTATTTAAATGTGTTGCAATGTTTTGTCCTTGGTTGTAGGCTTTTATCATGGCAATAAGTCCTGCTTACTACAATTGAACTTTAAAACTTGCTGTAACATAACAGCTAGATAGTTGATTTTATTTTTGTGTTAAAACTAAGTAATTACCTACCACTTTCGTGAAATATTTCCTTCTTGTGACATCTTGATCTTTACCATTGCCATAACTGAGAGTAAATGAAGGCAATATTTTAGTTTAAAAGTTAGAAAGAGATCAAAATATTTTGAACATTTCTTTCGTGAAATATTCAACTAAGAAAATTTTTTATTTTAGTTCCCCACATGGATCATCATTACTGGCAAACAATGATAAGTCTGTGATAACAAGAATAATTGATACACAGCAATTGAGGACAAGTTGGCCGAGCACATTGGGGTGTGGGTCCCAGAGTGCCCAGTTCTGAACGTTGTGAGTTCGGTTCCCACCTGAGTTGGTCATTTTTTGTTTCTCGACAGCCCCGGGAAACAGATCTTGACTCTAGTAACTATCCCACTCTAGTAAATACTTGGTGGCAACCTCTAGGTAGCCGTCAGGGGTTGGCAAAAAGGACCATTATAGACCCACCTGCCATACTAGTTCCCCCCACCAGTACCAGTACCAGTACACGGCAATTAGAAGAATTGACGGGTTTTAATAAATATTTGAAGCTCAAGAGCTTCAAATATTAAGCTTACTTATCATGTCAAGTTAAGAAAATTTTCAAAAAACAAACCACACTTTCTAAGGTTTTTTTTAGTCTATTGTCATATTGTAGGAGATGGTGCCTTCAAAATTATGTTCTCAGCAGATGAGCCAAACATTTTTTAATTATTATTTTTAAATACACTATTTACGTGCAATTTTTTGTTTTGAAAATACAGTGTGTGTTAATTACCTATTATTTAAATCAGGGTATGAAATGAGAAGTTAACTTCTGATTTTAATGAGTTGCGATAAAGGTTCTATAGTACTTTTATTTAAAAGTTCTGTTAAGGAATTAATTTTGTTAAAAATTAAATTAAAAATTATTAAGGATGTAAAATGTTCTAGATGTGCAGTAAACAAAAATATTTATTGAGGTTGTTGGCTTTTTAATCCAAACACGTGGGTCATTATTAGGTCTAAAAATTAAAAAATGCATAATAACATCAGAAAAATGATAAATATAAAAGTATAAAAGAAGGTGGAATGTACAAATGAGAAAATGGTTATATAATCCTAACAGTAATAAAATCATTACAATATACTACGGAAAGTTTTTCTGTTATAATTAAATAAAAAAGATAAGCATATCAAAAGTATAAATAAATAAAGCAAATAATTATAATATATGTAAATTAAACTGTTCAATAAATAAGAAGCTTCCAAAAACAACCTCTAGGGATAAATTTAGAAGTATGAAAAAATAATGTTTAGAAATAAAGATTAAGAAATATAAATAGTTTCATTTAAACTTGTAGGTTAGGACTGCACTTTATTATTAATTATAGAAATACACAATTTGACCACAATAGTTCTATTTCCCTATTTTTTTTTGTTTTCATATATGTTAATTTATTTATATAGATTGTTTTTACATACAGCTTATTTATTGATTTTTTTTCTTATTCCTTCGGCGCTATGACCCACGAAGGACCTTGGCCTCCTCAACTATTTTCCTCCAGTTAGACCAGTCTGCTGCTTCTCTCCAATTTCTCACTCCCAGTGACCTCAGGTCTTCCTCTACGTTGTCCGCCCATCATAGGCTAGGTCCGCCTCTTCCTCTTTCTCCATCTGGTCGTTCTTCCATTATTTGCTTGGGGAGTCGTTTTTGCTGCATCTGATGGACATGGTCCAACTATCTTATTCTCCCCTTTTTGATGCAAGAAACTATATCCGGTTCTTCATCCTTAGGCTCTGCATTATTGCATTAAGCAGTACTGACTTCCTTCTTTGGTAGGACCATATAATCTTCTCAAAATCTTTCTCTCCCATATACTCAGCAACCTCTTGGTGTTTAATTAGGATCCATGCCTTACTACCATACATGACAGTAGGACAAAGTATCGTTTTATATACCTTTATTTTTAGGTATCGGGGTATCTATTTATTTCCGTTCCCTATTCTTGCTGTTATTTTGTTATTATTGGTTAAAATTGTCCCAAGATACTTGAATTTCTCCTCGCATTCGAAACTGTATCTTACTCGCAATAGACATCCTTAGCTGAGTTTTTCCTGGAAGATATCATGTACTTTGTTTTGCTTTAGTTTATAATGAGCCCTGCCTTCCTAGCTGCCTCTTCACATTCCGTAAATGTTTTTAAGAGGGAATCTTGACTCTTTCCTGTGATGACCACATCGTCGGCATATGATAGATATGATAGGCATTGAGTTATATTATGATTATTATTATATATATACATAAAATAAAGTACGAAGGGTATATATATATACCGTTTGTACTTTATTTTAGCTGCCCTCATAATCCTCTCACCCACCATGTTAAATAACAGTGGAGATAAGGGATCCCCTGTTAAACTCCTTTTTTAAAAACAAAGTTTCTAGAAACTTCTCCCTGAACCTGTACTAAACCTATGCAAATTCATCCTTACCAGTCTAAGTTTTATAGAGCAACCTAAGATCCTGAAGTTTTCATAGATCTTATTTCTTTTTAAACTATCATACGCCTGCTTGTAATCTGTGAACAGGTAGTGGAAAATAACATTCCACTTATTGCACTTCTCTAACTTGTTCCTGATTGTGAATATGTGGTCAATAGTAGATCTTCCAGGGTGGAAACCACTTTGATACTCCTCTATGACTTCTTACGTTATCAGTAATCTTTTCAATAACAGGACAGATAGCATTAATCTTTTTTTTTTTTTTACATTAATTGTTTGGTTTATTTATTTTTACTTTTGATACAGTTAACTTTTTCATTTAATTATATCTCAAAAACATTTTCTTAGCATATTGCAATATTTTTATTATTGTTATGTTTATATAAACGTTATCTCATTTGTACGTTGCGCCTTTTATACTTCTATATTTGTCATTTTTCTAGCATTATTTTGTATTT